TCCTATAAAATTAAAGAGCAGATCCTCATCAGCATATACGGGTTGAGGTTCAAATCCCACCTGCCCCAAATGTATATAATAACATGTCTAAGCAGATTGGTTGAAATGGCAATATGACTATGGCCATAATCAGTCTGAAAACTTGTGGCTCTTGTGGTTCAGTGGTAGTGTTCCTGACTCACCGACCCACACTACCTTGCCTGTTTCAATGCCTTCACTGCCTCCAAACAACCACTCGAGAGCGCAGAAGATTCCACACCTTGATTAGTCAAGTGAAAGACCTTTAAAAAGCTGCACCTCAACATTTCGTCTCCTTTGAAACTTTAACCAAAGTAGCTTCAAGGAAAAGAAACATTAGTAGTGATTGTTTTCATCTCTGTGAATGCAAATGTTTAGACTCTGGTGGGTATTGATCAGATGGACTTGCTCAGCGCTTTGTTTTAGCACAAAATCTTGGAGGTCTTCCCAAGGGGAAGGCATACGCACAGACCCAATATATATGCTGGCACGTGTGGCGTAATTCAAAGGTGCATCAATGTACCATTCACTATGCATTATGCACTGAGACAAATTGAAGACACAATAGGCGGCCATTCAGTCCATCATGTCCATTCTGTACACTGATCTCAAGTCTTTGTTGAATAATCTAAAGTAAACATGGATTGAACAATAACAAAACAAAATACTGTGGATGCTGGAAATCTAAAACAAATTCAAAAAATGCTGGTACAACTCAGAAGTTAAAGCCTTTTCTCCGGAGCTCTGAAGAAGAGCCTTTGGACTCAAAACGTAAACTTGGTCTCTCTTCCAACAGATGGATTGAAGGGTGTCAAATAGAAATTTGCCATAAGTACTAATGCTTCAGCATTGTAATAAACATAAATGCAGAGTTACAAAGAGGACAGATAGCTAATTACATGTTTGGTGCTCAATGAGCAACGAGAGATGTAGGGAATTTTTGTATTGCTGAGATATCCAGTGTACACTTCACATCCACCATTTTCTCAATGTTATAATGTCAGAGGGATGCTACTGCAACTTGATTACTGCACTCTTGTAACAAAATATACACACTTATATTGCTGATAAAAGTACAAGGGGAAATTTAACTTTTACTCCTGATTAGCTCATGAAAACCATAGGCTTATCCCTCAGGAAGATGTTGCAAGGCCAGGTTTCTTAGTAACAGTGTAATGTGTGCTGCCTGCCTGCTTGATGGTTTCGAGCAATCACAGAGAAAGCCTCCCATCCCTGTGAATTGGCGGAAAGGCTTTGGACAGGGTTCATGAATGTGTTTCATGGGGTCTGGGAGTGGGAATTGGATGATTCGTAGACAATATGTGGCTTGGATGAAAGCGCTTGTGATCTGGGTGCTCAACCTTAGTTTTTCAAGGCTGCAAGAGAAGACCTGTACCTTTTTAAAATACCTATTGGGAAAGGACTCCCTTTCGTTCCTGTCAAGTCTAACCACATTGGCAGTAGCTACTTCATCTGGAAGGATGTTAACATACTTGTGGAATCCAATTGACATGCCAGGCAGGCAACATTTAAGAGTCAAAAAAAAAACAGTGGTATTAAAATTACTGCAGAGGAAATATAAAAATGGCAAGCAACATAAACCCCCTTAGCTGTAGTTTCTGATTGGTGGACAAAGTTAAGACATCCCCAGCAGTTTTGCAAGAGAGTTATTCTACTCAGCAGCGTTTTACTCTTCCTTCCCTGTTGCACATTGAGATTCATTAACTACCTTCTGTAAATCACGTTTAATTTATTACTGCTTTTCTTTACATTACATCCTAAGCCATGTCCTGTTCATCAGTTGAATTCAAGTAGCGCGGATGGGCATTGAATGTCTTTTATTCCACTCCTGTGTGTGCGTAGGAAGTAGCTCAGTGGATGGCCCCTCCATTGTTAGATGTTTTGACCTTTGACAAGGAGAATGTAGGCCTACAGGAGGACCTTGCTTGAGAGCATCATTGCACAGTCAGTAGCATTGGAAATTTCATGAAAGTTGGGCTGTTCATGGCCACAAAGCAAATGTAAGGTTTCATAGATGTGCAAAATGTGATTTTTTGACATAAATGATGTCATGAAAAATCCAATATGATTGTATATTTACAATTGCAATTGCAATTACGAGCAAGTTTAAACCAATCTACTCAAGCTCAAATCAGCCAGTCAGCGCTATAGACACTGCTGTGCATAACTGAACAGAAACACAGATGACAAATCAGTAAAGACAAGGAGAAGGTGGCATTGGGAATGGTCCTGGCAGGCTTGGCACATTGGGCTACTTGTATTCACTGAACGTGGTTTCGACATGTTCTCAAAGTGGGCTAGAAATTTTTGTAACCACACTGAATTCTTCTTTGTCCAGAATCAATTAATAACCGGGTGATTTGACCATGTGAATAACCCCGAACTAAAGACAGTGTTATATACAAATGCTGCTCAATAGTACATTACACTGTAAATTAGAAAGTGCAGTACAAATATAGTCTCAGAGATCTACAGTATAGAAAAAAGCCCTTCGGCCCATTGCATTTCACTGGTCAAAAACAACTCCCTAACTATTCTAATCCCATTTTCCAGCACTTGGTCTATAGCCTTGTATGCCTTGGCAGCACAAGTGCATATCTAAATATTTCTTAAATGTTATGAGGATTTCTGCCTCTACCATTCTTACAGACAGTGGGTTCCAGATTCCCACCACCCTCTGGGTGAAAAAGCTCTCTTCACATCTCGTATAAACCTCCTGCCCTTTAGCTTAAATCTATGCCCCCTGGTCATTGATCCTTCCATCAAGGGGAAGGGTTTCTTCCTGTCTTCTGTATTTATGCCCATCATAATTTTATACATCACAATCATGACCCCTGTCAATCTCCTCTGCTCTAAGGAAAACAAACCCAGTCTGTTCAGTCTCTTTCATAACTAAATCTTGGATGAAATTACAGAGTAAATGCTTGCAATGAGATATTCAACATAAAGAATACTCACCACAGTAGTATTTCGTAAATGTAGTCTTAAACTTGAGGTCATTATCTGACAGTAATATTGCGATAGAGCAGGAGTTCATATGCCTATTCTCATATTCAATATGGATAAAATTATCATCAGTATTAATAAATGCTCACATCTGCTAGTTTGACAAAACAGAGTAACTTCTTATCAGTAAATATTCACAAGGTCATGGCAGGAAAGTATGATTATAGATGTGGATTGTGAAATATTTTAAAAACCGCACTACTCCCTGGTCTTCTGGTCTCATTCAACAACAGCCTCTGTAGTAAATTTAAAACATAAAGATAATTCTACAGACAGCAGGTAAATAACTGCAAATATCACAGTAGCTAAACTGGAACGTGTGTTCATTGACATTAAACTCCCATGTCTCACAAAAACAGCTTAGATCTTGATTTTGTCAATGCAAAACAGGTGACAGAGAGTTTGGTGGACCTTGTTACATTCCCCATTTTTATTTCCATTATCTTTCAATTGGAATAAAACATTTTAAGAAATGAAGAATGGGGGTTTTTGTTTGTTGGGAGTTAGTTAATTCTAGGATTGTGGTCTAACTTGGCCTCGCTATTGGACACAATGCATAATATCAATAAGGTAGGTCTCATTGGCTAAGTGTGTAGATGGTAAGAAATGATTGGTTGACAGATGAAAATCTAATAATCAGTTGCCAGGTGTTGTAAACTAGAAAGTGGGCCCTTCAGTTACTGCAGTGCAATGATGTTATTTCTTTACATGATCCCAGAATGTGATAGAATCCCCGTGGTAAATCTGTTGGGGACTGGATGTTTAAAACAACAGATAGATGAGCCTGCTATTAAATTTAAATAAATGCACCAAATGAAATCTGAGGGTAAAGATAGAATATTTCAGCACAGAAACTGGTTATGTAGCCTATCCAATTAACACTGGTTTTATTGGCTACAAAAGCCACTTACTCTAATCTCACTGTTCTCTTTGCTGCACATGCATTCCATCCCTTTGTAACAATGTGGAAATTCTGAATTCTGCTACAAAAACCATTGGGATAATATATTCCACATTCAAATCCCTATTTGTGTTACTAGTTCTCTAAAAATCTTGCTGATAATTTTTTATGTTTAACTTAAATTGGTGACCTGTGTTACTAGCCAGTTCACATAATGATGCTGCTATCTCGGGTTATCAAACAGAGTGTGATGAGACGTGGGCAGTAGAATCAATGAATCGATTAAAGTATATGAAATTAGTTTCTTGTGGACTTTGATCCTTGATTTGAATTAAAACATGGTGGGAATTACAGAAAGGAACCCAAACACTATGAACTGAAATTTAATGCAGGGTGGCAAGGTTCTGCACTTGGTGGTGGTGAGACCTGGTGCGGCAATGTAGTCACACCTTCTCACTGACTCCCTGCCAGATGAAGGATGGCAGGCAGTTTCCTGTTGCTGTTGGCTCTGTTAAAGGGACGGCAGCTTTGAAGACTCTGCAATCCCAACCGGGAGGGGTCAGTGCTGCTGAGTCAGCTTGGTGACCTTGGAGTGCCCCAAAATGAAGGGCACCTTGGACAAGTCTTTGTAAACTAAAGCTAAAGATTACTGAGTGTGGAGGGGAAACCTCCAAGGATAGAGGGAGGGTGTCTATGGAGGCATGTCTTTTATGCTTACCCCTTCCCTGTTTAGATCATAAAGCCTCTGGATGTCACCCACAACCCTGCAGGCTGCCACAGGGAGTCCATATGTTTGAAATTACTGGCTGTTGTAACATGGCTGCCTAGTTCCATGGACAATGATGGGGTGCTGCCCTGACATGGCTTCACGTGATTTTATCCACCTCCCGATCCATTCCTGGCACACGAGCCGGGAGCATTCAGCTGTACATTTGTGTAGCATTGTGCAATGAGAAAGTTAATCATCTCCCTTGCATTGTGTAGGACTGCACAAGTTTAACTCTGTTTAAATCTGACGACTCTCTGAATTGTTTTAATCTTCTTTTCGTTACAGGACAAGTAATACCCGATTCGAATCAGACTACCACGAAAAGTAAGTAATCAAAGGAAGCTTTTTTTTAATCTGAGCCAAGCAGGTAGCTCACATGGTGGTTTCTATCATGGTGCCTATGTGTGAAGTTAAAAATCTACACCGTTATATTTGTAGTAACAGCATTGTTGGTCTTAACAAGCAAGATGCAGATCTGTTAGTACATAACAGCTTTACGTTTCCAATTGAATAAATGCTTCTTTATAATACTATATTTATATTCGGAGCAATTCTTTACACATTATGCAAAAAATTCTTTGCAGTAAATTATCATGTTTAAATCATTCGATTATTATTGTGGTCAAGTTTAAGCATGTTTTTAGTATGTTTGATTACCAATGGACCAAAACCATCTCTAAAAGTGAGGAAGTCACCTCTTGTGTATCATTAAGTTTAAAAAAAAACGTTTTTTCAAGTTCATTCTCCAGACTTTTACAACTCCACAGATTATTTCTATCACCTAATGGGATGAAAAGTAATTTCACAAGGACAGTGTCATTTCTGAAATTTCGTTTACATTTATCTGCTCTTGAGCTTATGAAATTAACTTTTTATTATATAAAAGAAGTCTCCCTTCTTACTGCCTTAATCTCCATTGTGAATAAGTTTGAGTTGTTTGCAAACAATACTAATTACAAATGTATGAACTGGAACTATTGGTACATTGTTCCAGTGGATCATAGTTTTTGCTGAAAGATATGGACAGCTCAACTCACAGTAGGGACTAATTATATATTCCTGAAAACACCAGTTCTCAGTTAATATTATTTACAAATTTCAATGGCAGCAAATCAGTGCTTTTTTTCATGAAGAATAAATTATTATTTTTCTTTTTTACATTGATATTTCCTGAGAACTGTTCTGATGAGTGCAAATTGAAAAACTTTAAAATGTTGATAAAACTTAAACAAATAAAACAAAAGTTCTGTACTTCTAAATGACTTAATATAATACTTGAATGGAAACTAATGCAGCACTTCCACTCCATTCCAACTGAGTTAAAGATTAGGAAAGTGAAGTAGCTCAACTTTGATGCTTTTGACACTCACTTCATTAAGGCAACAACCTCACTTCCTAACTATCAATTGGTGTCCAATGACATCGAGCAGGACCCTGATAACCCGTCTTTCATGTTCATCAAAATCTTTCATACATTTGCTGGAGGCAGCCTAATGTAATTAAAATTTGCAGAAGATTTCCTTTGAGTGCCATGAGGGATGCTTGGGCCCCGGTCACCACAGATCTCACCCTCAGGAGACATCTAAAAACCTGACCTGTATTCATACCTTCCAGCATGTCTCCAACAACAGATATGATTGCACCCATGCAAGATCAAGTATGTCCATTTAAAGATCTTCGTGTTCTCCATCGGACACAAGAGGTTTGTTCTATAGAAGCCAGGCTAAGTGTGCTTGATTTTTAAAAACTGGATGCTTTTTACCCTTTGTCTTCATTGATAGACTTTTATTAATTTGATTGCTCGTTCACCATGTTCTTGTTGTTTTGGAAGAAACTGGGTTGTTCTCAAGTGAACGAATATCCTGTAAATACTCTATTAAGTAGCTTGATTGTGTGGTGGGTGAAAATACCAAACTTAAAGCAAAATCTATGCTCCCTCAAGAAAAACATTTTATCACATTGAAGAATTTTACTGATTTGCAACATGTTATAGTTTTTGGATATGACTGATGATGTGTTTCTAGATGCAGTTGCAACATTCATTATTATTCAGGCTCTATTTTATTAGATTACTGGTACAAAGCACATTTTCATATTCTAGTCTTTGGAAATTACTGATGATGCAATGTTTATTCTTTTTCAAAGCGTTCTTACCCAGGACTTTGGTCTTTCAACAGCTCACTCATCACTCACACATTCCAGCACGGCTCCATCAACAGTAACTACTGCACACATCACAAGTTCATGTATGTCCATAAAGAAACATGACCTTCTTAGTTTGCTATCAAAAAGGGTACCACTCTGACATTCTCAGTTTGCCAATTCTGATCTTCATCGAATGATATTAGAATTGTTGTTCTGATGGAATGAAATTGCGATAGTCAGATATATTTGACTCGACACACTGAGTCAGCACTTTGAAAATGCTATTCAATTCATCGCTCTGCTGCTCTTTCCACATAGCTCTGCTTTTACCAAATTCAGGGAATATTATGCAGACAGAACTACAGCCCTTTTATCGATTGTTTTACTTTGTCCAAAATCTAAAGCAATTGCTGCTGTAACCGACAACACAGTGCGGAGCTGGAGGAACGCAACAGACCAGGCAACATCAGAGGAGCAGGAAAGTTGATGTTTCGGGTCGGGACCCTCCTTCAGAAATGGGGAGGGGAACGGATCTCAGAAATAAATAGAGGGAGGAAGGGTGGGACTGGGGAAGGTAGGGGGCTTGTGACAGGTGAGTGCAGATAGGGAGTGGTGGGGATTAGTCAGTGGGATGGGTGGGGTTGATAGGTGGGGAGGAAGATGGACAGGATGTGTCAGGTCAAGGAGGTGGGGATGAGAGGGAGGGTTGGACATGGGATGTGGCCCGAGGTGGGGAGATTTTAAAACTGGTAAATTCCATGTTTAGGCCATCGGGCTGTAGGAACCCGAGGCAGAATATGAGGTGCTGCTTCTCCAGTTTCCGGGTGGTGTCATTGTGACACTAGAGGAGGCCCAGGATGGACATGTCACCCAGGGATTGGGAGTGGGCGTTAAAATGGTTGGCGACCAGAAAGGTGTTGTCGTTTGTCGCAAACAGAGCATAGATGCTCTACAGAACGGTCTCACCGATGTAGAGGAGGCCACATCGGGAGCAGCAGATACAGTAGACCAAGTTGACGGATGTGCAGGTGAACCCCTGTCGTTTATGAAAGGTTTGTTTTGGGCCTTGAAAGGAGGTGAGGGGGGAGGTGTAGGAGCATGTGTACAACTTCCTGCAGTTGCAGGGAAAGGTGCCGGGGCTGGTGAGGTTAGTGGGGAGCGTGAAGCGGACGAGAGAATCGCGGAGAGAGCGATCCGTACGAAAGGCAGATAGGGGTGGGGAGGGGAATGTATCTTTGTTTCTGGGGTCGGATTGTAGATTTTTATTTGAGTCTGAATTGTATTTACCACATGCATAATGGGAGCAGTAAGTCCAGTCCGACCTGGTCTGTTGACAACAAATGTTACTTTCAGGATCAGTTTTATTTTATCTGAAAATGTTTTATGTAGCATCAAGTAATCCCGTTTGGGTCAACATTTCAAAATGAGAGAAATATCCTCCAAGCAGGATGCCAAAGTGTTGGGACAAAAAGATAGTTTTTGCAGCATGTACCTTTGTTGCTCACAACAAACTCAGTCCCTTCAAATACTTACACATGTGATGTTGTCAACAAGTTTATTGATAGATTGTGTCTTTCATCGGATCAGACATCACACATAACCTCCAGCAAAGCTACAAAATCAGTGACTATTTCACTCCCAGCAGGTTCAAGTACCTCTATTAAGTTTTTTTACTGCCTCAGTTTGAGAGCAAAATGGTTGTTCCTCTCATGCCCGGTAGCCAACTGTTCTAGATTTATGAAAGTTGAGTTGTTACATCCCTTGATGAACTTTGATCAGCTCAAGTGCTATTTTGTAATTTCCTTACTATTAAGGTGCAGTTTACCTTTCTCCTTACAAAGTGAATGAAATATTATTATATCCCAGAACAAGCAACCTTCGAGCTTGATGGGGGAAGAAAAGAAAATGTTTTGTTGAAGACAAAGCTAAATCTACACTCCTGTATGTTAGCTGAGAAAAAAACCTTTTAAACTTACTTGCAAGATATTTTTTGGCACTCGTGTTATAGATGTTGGAAACGACCAGTGAGAAAATGGACCAAAGCTTGGTACGTTCTTCATAGCAAATGTCAGCATTTGCTGTCATTACTTTTCTGAAACTGAGCACAATTTCAGGATGTTGGGCATGTTCAGGTTATTCTGAAAATGCTGAAGTCACAATTTCTTGCACCTTGTTCTGGCACAGGCTGCAAAGTAGATCCAGATCCATTAACACTGAAAGCCATGAGAAATTCATCTTTCCTACTCGCAAACTGCTGATCAAAACTTCTTAAAAAGTGACATCTTGTACTGTCAGATGTGAACTGTCTTTTGATGGTGATTTGATTGGTAAAGTTTGATGAGCAACAGAACTGATACTTAATAACATAATTTTGTAATTATGATAAGCTGATACTAATTATTTATTTCCTCGTTTTGGTTATCGTCTAAAATATTAATCACAAAAGGCTTTTTCAGAATTTTTAATTCCTACCTTCACTCTGTGTGAATGTCCAAATTTTCTAATTGCTGGATTTGAAAGTGAATAAAAGGTGAAGCTATTTTGCTGCTTTTAGTTTCCTCATGGGGGCTGAGGAAGATTCTCTGAATATACTTCCTTGTAGAAGGTGATTTCAGTCAGGCTCCACACTGGGAATACTCCAGTGATGGCCTGTAGAGTCAGTTGTATTACTACTGCACAGTGATAGAGGAGAAATTCTTACCAATGTGAGCACTTGCCGTCTGTTCTCATTCGCGTTCAGTTTCCTTCACGACTGTCTGCAAACTTCACTCTATTCTTTTTGTATTCCATTGTGATTTGCATTGTTACTCTCTGTTTTGTTCTCTCGGCAGTTGACGCACCACCCAAAAACTCCAGCACAGCTCCAACAGCAATGTCCCCGGTGCCCATTGAAACCTTAAGTATGCTCTTGTTTCGATGTCAGTGTAGTTACCAGCCAAAGACCTTCAACGTATAAAATCAGGCTGACTTTCACTGAATCACATTAGAATGTTTTATGGAATGATGTAGAGCAGAGGAGGTCACTTGGTCCATCATGTCTCTGTCAGCCCTTTGCTTGTAAAATGTGAGATTACGGTTGAGAAATGCACTCATGGTGCCATACAGTGTTTACTGTTGTTGATTTTTAACTCAGATTCCAAACATTTAAGAACTAATACACATTCTGCCTGACTGATCCATAACAAAAGCCACTCAGTTCTCTGGTGTGTCCTCAGTGTTAACTTTTCTGGAACACGAGGAGAGATTGGACTGGCTTGGATTGTTCGAGTTGGAGCAGAGAAGTGTAACGGGATCTTTAACAGACATGTTCAATACTGTAAGGGAATTCAATTGGCCTACTCAGCAAATGTTTCCAAAGGCACAAGGACATAGCTGACGAAAAATCTACATTCTCTTTAAAGTAGCCCAGAGAAATGCCTGTAGTATTATTTTTGGATAATTGGTACAAAGCACATCTTGAGATTCTAGACTTTGTAATTTATTGATGACACAATGTTTGTGTTTGTGATTGTTGCAATGCATTCTTAGGCACAGTTTTTCTCTTTCAGCAGATCACTCACCACACACACTCTTCAGCACGGCTCCATCAACAGTGACTACTGCTCATACTGCAGGTTCAAGTATGTCCATAAAGATACATCGCCTTCATGGTTTGCTATCCAAATGGGTTCCACTCTGAGAGTCTCGATTTGCCAATTCTCTCCGATCTTGATTGAATGATGTTAGAATCATTGTTTCATAGAGTAATAGGGCATAGCCAGATCTATTTGACTCAACGTGCTTTTGCCAGCTGTTTGATGGCGTTCAGTGCATCGCTCCACTGGTCTTTCCACACAGCCCTGCTTTCCCCAAATGCAGGCATAACTATTATGCAGCTGGCTTACTGTCGGCTTATTGATTGGTTCCCTTTGTCCAAAATCTAAAAGTGATAGGCAACTGTAAGTCGATAAAGTTCTGTTGACTACGAAGTTAATGCTCCAAGTGGAAATTTTATTTCAATTCTGAAACCTACAAAATAGGAGCTTGAATTCCAATCGCACCTGATCACTTGACGACAAATGCAACTGTCAGATTTAATTTTATTCTGTCGAAACAATTTTTATGTTGCATCGAGCAATCCCATTTGGGTCACTGTTTTAAAATGTGTGATATCTTCATCTCACATTAGGCTGGGTGACTGAGTGCTGGGGCAAAAAAATCAGTTTTTCACGATGCTCCTGTTTTGCTAATAGCTCTCTCAGTGACTTTGAATACTTATATGTGTGTTGTGGCAGGCCAGTTATTGATAGTTTCTGTCTTCCAGCAGATCACTCATCACGCACATCCTCCAGCACGTCTCCAAAATCAGTGACGACTACACTCCCAGCAGGTTCAAGTACCTCCATTAAGATTTTTACTTCCTCAGTTTGAGAGCAAAATGGTTGTTCCTCTCATGCCTGGCTGCAAACTGTTTTAGATTTATGCAAATTGAATGGTATCATCCATTTGTTTTCCTTGTTGCAATCTTAGGCACAGTTTATCTTTTTCAGCAGATCACTCACCACACACACTCTCCAGCATGGCTCCATCAACAGTGACTACTGCTCATACTGCAGGTTCAAGTATGTCCATAAAGATACATCGCTCTCATGGTTTGCTATCCAAATGGGTTCCACCCTGAGAGTGTCGACTTGCCAATTCTCTCTGATCTTGTTTGAATCACATTAGAATCATTACTTGGTGGAATGAGAGGGCATAGCCAGATCTATTTGACCCAATGTGTTTGTGCCAGCTCTTTGGTGTTCAGTGCATCTCTCCACTGGTCTTTGCACACAGCCCTGCTTTCCCCAAACGCAGGCATAACTATTATGCAGCTGGCTTACTGTTGGCTTATTGATTGGTTTCCTTTGTCCAAAATCAAAAGTGATGGGCAACTCTAAGTTGATCAAGTTTTATTGACAACGATGTTAATTCTCCAAGTGGAAATTTGCATTTCAAGTCTGAAACCACACACAACATTGGAGCTATGTTTCCAATCCCACCTAATCACTAGATGACCAATGCAACTGTCAGATTTAATCTTATTTTGTCTATAAAATTTTTATGTTGCATCGAGCAATCCCATTTGGGTGACTCATTTAAAATGTGTGATATCTTCATCCCACATCAGGCTGGGTGACTGAGGGTTTGGAAAAAAAGTTCATTTTTTCAGAATGTTCCTATTTTTCTAATAGCTCTCTCAGTGACTTTGAATACTTATATGTGTGTTGCGGCGGGCCAGCTATGGTTAGTTTCTCTCTTTCAGCAGATCAGTCATCACGCACATCCTCCAGCACGGCTCCAAAATCAGTGACTACTGCACTCCCAGCAGGTTCAAGGACCTCCAGTCAGATTTCTACTTCCTCAGTTTGAGAGCAAATGTTTGTTCCTCTCATGCCTGGCTACCAACTGTTCTCGATTTATGAAAAATGAATGGTTTCATCTATTTGTTTTCCGTGATGAAAGTTTATCAACTCAAGTGCTATTTTGTATTTTCCTTGCTATTTAGGTGTAGTTTAGATTTCTCTTTCCAAATTGAATGTAATACTTTTCTTCCCCAGAAAAGTCAAACTTCTGATTCAAACTTGGAGGTAGATGGGCTGAAAAAAAAAGCTGTTTTTGTCAAGGACAAAGCGAAATCTACACTCCTGTATCTTAGCTGAGAGAAAAAAAATGCGTGTACTTAGTTGCAAAGTATTTATTGGTCTTCAAATTATAGATTTTGCAAAGGACCGGTGAGAAAATAGCTCAAATCTTGGAAGGTCCTTGATAGCAAATGTCAGCGTTTGCCATCATTATTTTTCTGAAACTGAGCATAATTTCAGGATGTTGGGCATGTTCAGATTATTCTGCAAATGCTGAAGTCACGATTTCTTACTCCTCGTTCTGGCACAGACTGCAAAGTGAATCCAGATCCAGTAACACTAAAAGCTATGAGAAATTAATCTTTCATACTCCCAAACTGCTGATCAAATCTTCTTAAAAAGTGACATCTTGTACTGTCAGATGTGAACTGTTTTTGATGGTGATTTGATTGGTAAAGTTTGATGAACAACAGAACTGATACTTAATAACATAAGTATTATGAAAAGCTGTAAATAATTATTTATTTCCTTATTTTGGTTATCGTCTAAAGAATTAATTGCAAAAAGCTTTTTCAGATTTTTTAATTCCTACCTTCACTCTGTGTGAATGTCCAAATTTTCTAATTGCTGGATTTAGAAGTGAATAAAAGGTGAAGCTATTTTGCTGCTTTTAGTTTCCTCATGGAGGCTGAGGAAGATTCTCTGAATATACTTCCATGTAGAAGGTGATTTCAGTCAGGCTCCACACTGGGAATACTCCAGTGATGGCCTGTAGAGTCAGTTGTATTACTACTGCACAGTGATAGAGGAGAAATTCTTACCAATGTGAGCACTTGCCATCTGTTCTCATTCGCGTTCAGTTTCCTTCACCATTACTGCAAACTTCACTCTATTCTTTTCGTATTCCATTGTGATTTGCATTGTTACTCTCTGTTTTGTTCTCTCGGCAGTTCACGCACCACCCATAAACTCCGGCACGGCTCCAACAATGTCCCCGGTGCCCACTGAAAGCTTAAATATGCTCTTGTTTTGATGTCAGTATAGCTACCAGCCAAATATGTTCAATGTATAAATTCAGGCTGACTTTCACTGAATCAGATTAGAATGTTTGTTTTGTGGAATGTTGTAGAGGAGAAGTGATCACTTGGCCCATCATGTCTCTATCAGCCCTTTGCTTGTAAAATGCGAGATTACGGTTGAGAAATGCACTTGTGGTGCCACACAGCGTCCACTGTTGTTGATTTTTAACTCCGATTCCAAACATTTAAGAACTAATACACATTCTGCCTGACTGATCCACAACAAAAGCCACTCAGTTCTCTGCTGTGTCCTCAGTGTTAACTTTCCTAGAGCAAGAGGAGAAATTGGAGAAGCTTAGATTGTTCTAGTTGGAGCAGAGAAGTGTGATGGGATCTTCAACAGAGGTGTTCAATAGTGTAAGGGAATTTAGTTGGTCTACTGAGCAAATGTTTCCAAAAGCACAGGGACACAGCTGAAGAAAATCTACGTTCTCCTTAAAGTAGCCCAGAGAAATGCCTGTAGTATTATTTTTGGACAATTGGTACAAAGCACATCTTGAGATTCTAGACTTCATAATTTATTGATGATACAATGTTTGTGTTTGTGATTGTTGCAATGCATTCTTAGGCATTGTTTTGCTCTTTCAGCAGATCACTCACCACGCACACTCTTCAGCACGGCTCCATCAACAGTGACTACTGCTCATACTGCAGGTTCAAGTATGTCCATAAAGATACATCGCCCTCATGGTTTGCTATCCAAATGGGTTCCACCCTGAGAGTCTCGATTTGCCAATTCTCTCCGATCTTGATTGCATGATGTTGGAGTAATTGTTCCATAGAATGAGAGGGCATAGCCAGATCTTATTGACCCAACGTGCTTGTGCCAGCTGTTTGATGGCGTTCAGTGCATCGCTCCATGGTCTTTCCATACAGCCCTGCTTTCCCCAAACACAGGCATAACTATTATGCAGCTGGCTTGCTGTTGGCGTATATATCAGTTTCCTTTGTCCAAAATCTAAATGTGATGGGCAACTATAAGTTGACCAATTTTTATTGACATCAAAATTAATGCTCCAAGTGGAAATTTGTATTTCAAGTCTGAAAGCACACACAAAATAGGAGCTATAATTCCCATCCCACCTGATCATGTGACGACAAATGCAACTGTCAGATTCAATTTTCTTCTGTCTAAATCGTTCTTCTGTTGCATCGAGCAATTCCATTTGTGTCACTCTTTTAAAATGTGATATCTTCGTCCCACAACAGGCTGGGTGACCGAGTGTTGTGAAAAAAAAATCATTTTTGCACGATGCTCCTGTTTTGCTAATAGCTCTCTCAGTGACTTTGAATACTTATATGTGTGTTGTGGCAGGCCAGCTATTCGTAGTTTCTGTCTTCCAGCAGATCACTCATTACGCACATCCTCCAGCACGGCTCCAAAATCAGTGACGACTACACTCCCAGCAGGTTCAAGTACCTCCATTAAGATTTTTACTTTCTCAGTTTGAGAGCAAAATGGTTGTTCCTCTCATGCCTGGCTACCAACTGTTCTAGATTTATTAAAATTGAATGTTTTCATCCCTCTATCTTTCTTGCTGAATTTTTATTCACTCATATGTTCTTTTACAACTTCCTTGCACTTTGCTATGGATTGCATTCCTCTTTACAAATGAATAAAATATCTTCTGGCCACTATAACTGGCAATATTGGAGCTTGTAAGGGTAAATGGCCAGTTTTTTCCAATGCAATGCTAAATCTATGTTAGCTTAGAAAAATATCTACTTACTTTCAAGATGTTTATTGATCCTCATGATATAGACTTTGTAAATTACCAGTAATGGATTGAATCAAATCTTGCAAGATTCTTGACAGCACATGTCAGCATTTGCCATCATTGTCCTGAAACTGAGCATGATTTCATGACGTTGAGCATCTGTCAGTTTGGCCATCCTGAAGGAGAGCTCTTTCACTCCTTGCTCTGACACAGGTTGCGAAGTGGATTCAGTGCTGGTATGACTGAAATCCAGGACAAATGCAACTTTCTTCCTCGCAAATCACTGTTCAAAACCTCAGATAAAATGACATCTTGCACTGTCAGATGTGATTGGTTTCTTTGACTGTGATATGATTGGTAAAATTGATGAATGACCAATTTGACTTGAAATATGTTTCATAATTATGGAATGCTGATAATAATGTATTATTTTCTTATGTTGAAAACTATGGTTTTAATAATTTATCACAAAAGACTCTTTGAGAATTTTTCGCTTTTATCTTCACTCCAAGTGAATGTTCAAAACTTTTTCAGTGCTGGAAGAGAAAGTTGACAAAAAAAATGTTATTTTGCTGTTTTTAGTTTCTTCATGCGGGGCTGTGATCTCTCTGAAAATATGTGATGTAATAGATGATTTCAATCCAGCTCCACACTGAGAATACTCCAGTGATTGTCTCTATAGTCAGTTGTGTTGCTGCTGCACAGTGATAGAGGAGAAATTCTTACCCAGGGGAGTGCTTGCTGTCTGATCTCGACTGCAATCAGTTTCCTTCACCACTGACTGCAAAATTCTGTCAGTTCTTTTTGTATTCATTTGTGATTTGCATTGTTACTCTACGTTTTGTTCTTTCAGTAGTTCACACACCACCCATAAACTCCAGCACGGCTCCAACAGCAATGACTATGGCACCTGCTGAAGGCTTAAGTATGCTCTTGTTTTGATGTCAGTGTAGCTACCAGCCTAATACCTTTAATATATAAATTCAGGCTGACTTTCACTGAATCACATTAGAATGTTTGTTTTATGGAATGATGTAGAGTAGAGGAGGTCACTTGGCCCATCATGTCTCTGTCAGCCCTGTAGTCAATTAAGAGATCACTATTGAAGAATATCTCTTGCTCATATACTGTCTGAAATTATGTTACCACACAAAAATAGGAGCAGTAATGCCAATCCCACCTGATCTCTTTGACAAAAACAAATGTAACTGATGGAACCAGTTTTGTATTTTAGACATGTTTTATGCTGTACTGAGTAATCCCGTCTGGGTCAGTCTTTCCAAAATGAGAGAAATGCCCTCCTCTCTCCAAGCAACAATGGCAGAGTGTTCGGCCAAATTGCTAATATTTGCAGGATGTAGCTTTGTTTCTCATAGCAAACTCAGCCTCTTCAAATTCTTATATGTGTGTTGTCAGCAAGCTTATTGATAATTTCTGTCTTTCAACAGATCACGCATCACTCACACCCTCCAGCACGGCTCCAACATCAGTGACTACTGCACACCCCACAGGTTCAAGTACCTCCATAAAGACTTTTTACTTCCTCAGTTTGAGAACAAAATGGTTGTTCGGGTCAGGTCTGGCTGCCAGCTCTTGCAGATTTATGAAAATTGAATGTTTTCATCCCTCTGTCTTCCTTGGTGAACTTTTACCAGCTCAAATGTACTTTTACAACTTCCTGGCTGTAGTTTGAATTTCTCTTTACAAAGTGAATGAAGTATTTTCCTCCCTATAGAGTCATACAGCATGGAAACAGACCCTTCAGTCTATCACATCTGCGACAACCAGATATCCTAATCTGACCTACTCCTATTTGCCAGCATTCGGCCCTCTAAACCCTCCCTATTCACACACCCATCCAGATGCCTTTTAAATGTTGTAATTATAACCCCCTCCATCACTTTCTTAGGCAGTTCATTCCATACATGCACCACCCTCTGCGTGAAAAAGTTACCCATCAGGTCCTTTTTAAATCTTTCCCCTGTCACCTTAAACCTATAACCTCTAGTTTTGGACTCCCCCATCCCATGGCTATTCACCCTATCCATGCCCCTCATGATTTTGTAAACTTCTGAGGTCACCCCTCAGCCTCCGACGCTCCAGGGAAAAAAGCCCCAGCCTATTCAGCCTCTCCCTGTAGCTCAAACCCTCCAGTCCCACTAACAAGCTTGCGAATCTTTTTTGCACCTTGTCTGGTTTAACAACTTTCTTCCCATAGGAGGGCAACCAGCATTGTACGTAGTATTCCAAAATTCGCCTCACCAATGTCCTGTACAGCTGCAACATGACATCCCAACTCCTAAACTCAATGTTATGACCAATAAAGGCAAGCATGCCAAATGCCATCTTCACCATCCTGCCTACCAGTGACTCCACTTTCAAGGAACTATGCACCCATATCCCTCGGTCTCTTTGTTCGGCAACACTACACAGGGCTCTACCATTTACTGTATAAGTTCTGCCCTAGTTTGCCTTACCAAAATGCAACGCCTCACATTTATCTAAATTAAACTCCATCTACTGCTCCTCGCCTATTGGCCCCTCTGATCAATGTCTTTTTGTACTCCAAGATAATCTTCTTCATTGTCCACCGTAACAAGCAACAGTGGAACTTGATAGGGTAAAAGACTGGGTTTTTTTCTAGTACAAAGTTAAATCTACATTTTTCTACTTCAGTTGAGAAAAAAACATCAGTTCCTGCTTCAAAATGTTTCTTTGCCTTCACATTGTAATCTTTGTAAATGACTGGTAATAAAATCAGTTAAATACTTAATCTTAGAAGACTCTTACAGAATTTTTAGTTTTTACCTTCATCCCATGGGGATGTCTTATTTTTTAAGTGCTGGAAATGAAAATTTAGGGGTAAAAAGGCTATTTTGCTGCTTGTAGTTTCTTCTTTCTGTGGTTTGACCTTTCTGAAAATACTTTCATGTCATTGATGATTTCAGTCCAGTTCCACACTGGGAATACTCCAGTGATGGCCTGTACAGTCAGTTGTATTACTACTGCACAGTGATAGAGGAGAAATTCTTACCAATGTGAGCACTTGCTGTCTGATCTCAACCATGATCAGTTTCCTTCGGCACTGACTGCAAACTTCAGCACGTTCTTTTTGTATTCAGTTGTGATTTGCATTGTTACTCTCTGTTTTGTTCTCTCGGCAGTTCACGCACCACCCATAAACTCCAGCACGGCTCCAACAGCAATGACTGCGGCACCCACTGAAGGCTTAAGTATGCTCTTGTTTTGATGTCAGTGTAGCTACCAGCCTAATACCTTTAATGTATAAATTCAGGCTGACTTTCACTGAATCACATTAGAATGTTTGTTTTATGGAGCGATGTAGAGCAGAGGAGGTCACTTGGCCCATCATGTCTCTGTCAGCCCTTTGTTCAGTCAGTCATAAATTAGAAGATCACTACTGAGGAATACACTCCTGGTCATATACAGCATTTACTCAGGATGATTTATGTCTTAGATTCAATCTGTCTGACTGACCTATTCCAAAAGCCATTCAATTCTCTGGTGTCTCCTCAATGTTGACATTCCTTGAAGAGCAAGTGGAGAGATTGGAGAAGTTTGAATTGTTCTAGCTGGAGCAGAGGAGTGCAAAGATCTTTAACAGAGGTGTTTAATGGTATATGGGAATTTAACTGGCCAAATGAGCACATGGTCCAAGAGGTGCAAGGACAAATGAAGATAAATCCTCGTTTTCCTTAAAGTAGCCCGGAGAAATGCCTATGATGTTATTTTTGGATAAGTGATACAAAGCATATCTTCATATTCTAGTCTTCGTAAGTTACTGTTGGTAAAATGTTTACATTTGCAACTGTTCAATATATTCTTACCTTTGATTTTGCTCTCTCAGCAGATCACTCATTACTCACACGCTCTAGCACAGCTCCATCAGCAGTGACTACCGTACACGCTGCAGGTTCAAGTATGACAATAAACACCACTTAATGCTTTATTGTTGTATTGGAATAGTTTCATCCCAATATCTGATAAGTAACTCCGATCCTGATAGTTTGAGACTGAGTAGTTTTCTTTTCCCTTTGTCTTTGCCAATGAACTTTTAAATCCTCAAACCTTTAAAACACCCATGTTTTTCTGATTCAGTTTAGCTTCTTCATTTGTCAAATCAAATAAAATAACACCATGTTGGGCCAAAATGCAGGATGCGTTTTCACTTACTTTATATGTCTAGTGGACTTCTGACTGGTCCCTGACACCAAATTCTGGTGCAGTAAAACATTACCTTCAAGAATTCTACAGATACAGAACTTACCTTAATGCTATTATCTTTGTTAATGTCAATGAATGCATGGACTGGATTGCGCTAGACAAATACTGATTGTCCCGCCATGGATTACACTTTTGCAGGTCAAAAGTGATAGTGAACTCTAATAATTCCATATTTTTCTTTAACTACATAAATGCCACAGTTCCACAATCCTACATAAAACCTCTCAGTGCCACAGGCTATGTTATTGCAGTCTCTTCTGATCTACAAAGTGAATGACGCATATTCTGAACCTTCATAATAGTTGGGATTGTGGAATGTTGGGAAAGCAAATTGATTTATCCAGCAAAAAGTGAAAAACTAGTCTTCATCATTGTTCTGCCATGAATATAGGATAACTATCCAGTATGAAACACAGTGCAAACCAATAAAATTAGACCCCTTCTAAATCAGCAGTAACTGTGTTTTTATTGGCATAGTAGATCGTAATTTCTGTTGACCAAATGCTTTGGCCCTTAACATTAATTCGTCTTTTTTTCACATTTTTCTCTCTTGCATCTTTCCCTTAAGCCCAAAGAAAAGATCTAATAATTTCATTTCCAATACAACGATTAAAATACATTTATTAAGTAAAAGTAACTACAGTGAAAGGTATTTACTGCTTTTTAACTTATTGCTTTGCTGTCTGTGAAAATTCATCAATCTAATTATTTGAGCAGCTTCTCTGTGCTGCTTTCTTTCCTGATTGATGGCTCAGCTTTTGTGAGAACCTAAGTTCAAACAACTGCCAAAAGACCAGAAATGTCCTCTGACAAGTGTGCTCAAAGGTTCTTCGCAGTTGTCTAGGTGGTGAACTGAAAAAGCTTTCAGTTCGTTGCCCTCAGTAAAATCCTGGCAATAATATTTGTAGATGTGTTTGTGTCATGCATTGGTACTCACCATTTTGGTCTTCCAGCAGATCACTCATCACTCACAACCTCCAGCACTGCTCCGTCAACAGTGACTACTACACACGCAGCAGGTTCAAGTATGTCTCTGAACATGCCTTTCTTTTCATTTAGTAGTGAATTAATTGGTGCCTTGATGTCTGGTCACCAGCTGATCACATGATTTTTGGAGCTGATTTTTCTTTTCTTTGTCTTCATCAATGTCCTCAAAGGTTCATTTGATTTGTTGCAGTTTGAGTCCTTTTTTTCAAATTAAGTGAAGTAGCGACTCGACTTTATAACGAATAAGATGGTAGAATATTGGGACAAAATCTAAGATTATTTTCTAAGTAAATCTGCACTTGACCTAGTCTAGAGGACTGTCTCTTAGGCTCTGATAGCTACCCCTACATGCAGTTAAATATTAGTTTCAAGAATTTCGGCATGGAAATCAAATTGTCATACCATAATCTCTGTTAATGACCGATGATAGAATGACTTGGATTTTGCTGTAAAACGAAACAGTGTGGCTGACAGTACTGACCCTTAATTAGTGGTTAAAAGTTAAAGGAAAGTGTGGTTTCCGAGCTACATTGTTAGATGCAGAGAAACCTGGTAATTGCTGTCAGGTAAACTCTGCTCCAGTATAAGTTCAGTCTCTGCTGAAGAAATATGATCATTGCCATAGCCTGATTGTAGGATAATGATCCTGCATTGATCACAATAAAGACCAATGAAATCTGGAGCATTTTAGCAAATGGGGAGTAGCTGAACTTTTAATGAAACAGAAAGCCATGCTTACAGTTGAACAAACTCTAGCCCTGAGAAGTTATTTTGCATGTCTGGAGTCTTATTCCCTCAGACTAATATTGCAGATTATTAATAAGTAGAGCTATTTTAAATACAAGTGTTCCTTTTTTCTCGTTTATAACTTACACTTTATCTTAAAGATATATCCCAATAATTTCACTTTCTTTACAACGATTGAAGGATAATTTGTATTTCCAACTTTTTAACTTCCTGCTTTAGTGTCTGAGAAGATTCATCAGTCCAATTAGGAAGCTGCTTTCCTTCTAACAGATAGCTCAGATCTGTGGTAGATCAGTCCAAATTCAAACAACGATCAGAAAATTGGCACTCTCCTCTGACAAGTGTGCTAAAAGTTTCTGAGCAATAGTCTGGGTGGTGAACAGAAAAAAAAGCTTCACTTAGTTGCCCTCAGTAAAATCCTGGCAATAATATTTGTAGATGTGTTTGTGTCATGCAATGTTACTCACTGTTTTGGTTTTCCAGCAGATCACTCATCACTCACAACCTCCAGCACTGCTCCATCAACAGTGACTACTACTTACGCAGCAGGTTCAAGTATGTCTCTGAACACACTTCACGGTTTGATTTTTGTTTCAGAATGGTTGTTGCTCTGATGTCTGGCTACCAAGTGTTCCTGATTTTTGAAAAGTGACTAATTTTATCATGTTGCATTCCTCATTGAAGTTTTACCAGTTTAAATGTTCACTACAACTTCCTCATTTAGTTGATGCATCTCTCTACAAGGTGAATGAAATATATTCTATAGGCTGTAACAAGTGGAAATGTCAAATGTTGGGGTGACAAGCTGGTTGCTTTTTCCAGGACAGTCAAATGTACACTTCTCTTAAATTAGTTTTGAGAAATATCTGTTTTGTTATCAATTTGAAGAAGTTTAAGACAGACGTCTTCATTTTGTATTCTGTGTGAATGATCAATGATATCATGTTGTTATATTCAATTGTGACAAGCATTGCTACTCAATTGTTTGGTTTTCTAGCAGATAACTCATCACTCACACTCCACAGCATGGCTCCATCAACAGTGAATTCTTCTTTCACACCAGGTTTGCATATGCCCCTTTCACTTCATGGGTGTCAGTATTGGTTACCATCCTGATTTCCTCAACTCAATTCTGCCTCATTTTCAGTGGATGATTTTGTTTTTAAATGAACAAACACAATACCTCACCTTTCTTAGCAAACTTCATGATAAATCTAAGAGCCTTTTATGGTATCCCCCCAGTTATGCAGACAACTTCCCATTCTCGTGGAATGCTTATAGGCAATCCACTCTCAATATAATGGTAATTATGGCTATTATGTTCTTCAGTCCTGCATACATCACTTGAGATGGTGAAACAGAGGAGGCAATATCACATACAGCCTGTTGTATTCAATATCTGTTCCATTCAGGGTTAAAGTAATTTTTATTTTTTGAGGGTCATTCTGGAGGTTCTCCTGAGCTCTACAGTTTGATGTTCAGTGATTTTTTTATAACTCCCTTCTCATTCTTATAGGCACATTTATGAGGTGATGCCATCAGGTAGTAATGATTCCCTCTGTACTTTTGTTTGCATTTGGAATATTTGGATTCTGACTAAAGCAGCACTGAAATAATTTATCAGTAATTATCCAATTTCTACTTAACTTGAAGTCACACACTGAAAGGAATCATTAATGTCCTCAGTACCACTGTATTTGAACTGGCCCAAAACAACAGGCATAATAAAAGGTTTTTCCAAAATGACTGACTCATACTGCTACATACAAAAATCCATCACCCGATGCACACTTCCTGTGAATTGGTGAGGTCATAGCTAATGCATTCCCATCACACATGAACAAAGCTGGTATATTTTAACGAGTCAATTGTTGTCCTATTTGCCAACAAGATTGGTTAGCTCAGTTGGTTGGATTTCAAAACAGAATGATACCATCAGTGTGCATTCAATTCCCACAACCAGTTGAAGTCACCATGAATGGAGTGCTTTCTCAACCTCACCTAAAATGTGGTGACCCTCATGTTAAACTCACCATTGATTATATTTCTTGAATGAGGCAACTGTCCTCTGGGACAGTATTAACTTTATCCTATTTGTTACATCTCAAATCTTATTCTCAGATTTATATTTAACAATGAACAGTGTTAATTACAGTAGAATCCATGACATTTTTTCTAGATACAATAGATCCTAAGTGTACACAGCTGTAAACTAGAGATTCCACATTCTTATGCAAGGAATACTTTACATCAGTGATTTAAAGTTTTCTTTGATATCAGTTAGTTGAGTATTCATTTGTGAAGAAGTTTAAAGCTGATCTCTCTCCTTTGCAGCTACTGGGAGTGAATTTTCCCAGTGATGTTGGGACTTTCAGGGTTGAATTTGCCCACTGTTTGGAACATGGACCATTTTAGTGCATCTTGTACATTTCTTAAGATATTCCTGATATGGTGCGTAGTTGGGGCCAGGCTATTTCAACTTTACACAAATAATGTTTAAAGAAACTGGATTGAAAATATAGCCATGTTTGGCAAGGGTTGGATTATCAAGTGTATCATCTGCAGAAAGGGAAGGAAAATAATTTTTTTGTGGCAATACCTCATCACTGTTGAAGCTGATGAATATTGACAAGCTTCTGTTCTTCCAGAAACACTTATTGTGTTAAGTTGATGTTATATTACTGTAAATAGGTGACTATTGTTTTTGAAGTGTTTGGGGATGTAAACATTCATGTGTTGTAATTTGATTTTTCTGCAGACGTTAATGAAACAGCACCCAGAAACTCCAGCACGGCACCTCTATCCAAAAGCATTGCACCAACTTCACGTATGTTTCCCAGCTTATGGTGATGTAGTCTGTTCATTTATGAAGATGACTACATCTCTGTGGTTACAAGCTCTGCTCTTAAAAGCCTACTTTCACTCCCACAGTTGGGGAATGCTAAGTGAATACATACTTCTGCAGTAGTGGAGAACTGTAACTTGCTTTTTGCTTACATGTCAATGTAAAAATGGAGCATTGGCAAGTTCTAATATTCTCAATGTGTAACATTAAGGGAAAAGTTGCTTAGTAGATTTACCAATCTGCTGCAATGCAGACCAACATTAAGAAAAGAATGGGTAAAGTTATAAAAGACCTTGGGAAAACAAATATGCCTGAACTGTTCTAACAGCTCAGAAGATAAATCCTGTGTGTGATTTGGTATTTGTCATACAGGTGAAGCTGGCCCCAAGTGCTATTTCTAGTTTGCATGACATTTGGTATTTCAAATGGGATTGTGTTGCAGTTGCCACAAAGGGACACCTGCGAATGACCGAAGTGAGATAATGATGAACAGGCAGCTCATATACACTCCAGTCCAGCGTTTGCTGTTCTGCCATTTTTATCTTAAGGCTTTTATACTGCCGTAAAGGAAACAAATTGTTTTTATCGAGATCATCTACATTGTGAAGCTTTGTGGGTGGATTTCAACAGCTAAAGCAGCAAATGGAAAATTGAACGTTAAACAAGTTGAAAGAAAAGGTGACTGCTGAAGGAAGGGTCAAAGTAGAAAGAAGAATAATCTTTCTGGAAGCCCCTGGGGAATCTCAGAAGATGTCTTAAATCCTTTATTATTCTGTGTCAATGTTGAAGGGCATAGTATGATAAAGTCTAAGCAAAGTTGAAAAGAAGAGAAACCTACTTGAAATTGATTGCCACCTTCTGGGAGCAGACCGAAAGCTGGCACAGTGCAGTTGGCGCTATTCAACTGGGAGACAAGACACTGGATGGAAAGCCACTTCCTTTCTGACTCCACCAGATTGAGTCAGGAGCAAGGAAGGTCACAGTTGGCCTCCTTGCCCCGGGCCAATTAAAAGCTCCTGCCATTGGTATTTCAGTGTCAGTGGGAGTGTGGTGCCCGCCTGTGACCTCTCGAAATGAGGATAGCAGCAGTACTCATTATCAGGCACCCTCTGCTCCCAGAGAGGGCCCTAGTGGCAGCAAGGCCTGACCCAACAGGAAGATCTGTGTTTTGCCCTCCACACCAGCGCCCTCTTCAACAGAGCCTGCCTCCTCTGGCTCTGGTGAGCCCTCCTCTCCTGATATCAGGTTGGGAGCTTCTGGAGGCTGGATAAGTGCCTGAGAGAGATTTAACTTGGAAAGCAATATTGGGCTGGAGCTGTCAGATCCAACTTCAACTGACAGCTGGAAATGGTCCCGCTGTATTAGAGGACAAATTTCATGAGTCTGCTTGTAGCCCTCTGAAAAATTCCTATAAAGGGCAGAAGACTTCATTAATATGTTTAAATAACCTGTCACGGAATAGTCAAAACCTGATTTATAGTTAATTGGTGCCTTGCAGGTTTCTAAGAGTTTAAGAAATCTGAAAGCAAAATGCATTCTGGAATTTTTGGTTGTTATACATAATTGTGCTTGATTGTACACTATGCGGGCCAAAATGCTTTGAAAAGCATTTACAGAAATGTTGAAGTCCTTACTCTGCACCCCCCACCCCCAACCCTAAGAAGCATTTGACGTTCTTTTAGCCCATCATGATTTCTGACTAGCCCTTACCACCATGGACGATTTCAGGCATATTTCTCCAAGCTGGTTAAAGTGAAAAAGGTGTTTCATTTCACCCATCCAAGAAAGCAATCAGATCAGTTCACACATTCATAAATTACTTATTTTAATCTTATTGAAGGTGTAATAATTAAGATCATTATTATTCTTTGACTTTTTCAACAGACAATGCATCATTCACCAAATCCAACACCACGCCAGAAACAGTGACTTCTGCAGTCTCAGATAATCAATCAACAGCAAAAGGCACGTCTTACTCTCTCACTTACTCGCCTCTCAGCTCTTAACAATGGCACTGACACCTGACTCTCTCCAGAGAAACAATAACTACAACCTGCATTTATAGTGCACCTTGAAGAAACATTCCATGGCACTTCACAGGAGCATCATCAAGCAAAATCTGAACCATTTATGCAGATACTTGGAACAGGTCCCCTTGTAGCATCTTAAAAGAGGAGAGGGAAAGACAGGGAGGCTTAGGGAGGGAATTCCAAAGTTAGGGCCTGAGCTACTGAAGACACAGCTGCCAAGAATGAAACAATTAAATTCTGGAAAGAGGCCAGAATTGCAAGAGAGGACGCAGTGATCGCTAGGGTTGTAGGGCTCGAGGAGTTTGTAGAGATAGGGCGGATTGATGCCATGGAGAAATTTGAGATGAAGATAAAACTTTTAAGATCAAGGAGTTAATGTAGCAGTGTACGTCCAAGAGAAAGGGGTAATGGGTGAAGAGAACATGGTGCAAGTTATCATAAGGGCAGTGGAACTTTGGATACACTGAAACTTATGATGTCTAGCGAATGGGAGGCTGGTCAAAAGTGTGTTGGAATAGTCAAGATTGGAGACACCAAGGGTTTCAGTAGTAGATGAGCTGATATACAGGTGTGGTATCTCACAGAATGTTTGGGAAGCTTTGGTCTTGGAGGTTCATCTGAGGTTTAAATGCGAGGTTAAAGTTATGACCTTACTGGTTGAGCCTCAGACACTGGCCACTGAGAGGAAAACAATTTGATGGTGAAGAAACCAAATTTGCAGTAGGGACCAGAGACGATGATCCCATCTTCCTAGTCTTTATTTGGAAGAAATGTCTGCTCATCCAACACTAGATGATGGACAAGCAACAGTTATAAGCCCTCATAATTTCATTGCTAAAAGATCTGGTTTTCATGTTCAAACATGCGCTCCGCTCCTAAACTTGTAAGCAACAGAAGTATTTGTCTCCATCTATCCCATTTGTTCACCTAACGTAATGAAATCTTTGATACATCACCCATTAATGTTCAAAATTCCAGCCAACCCTTGTTTGTGTAATCTTTTCTCATAATTTAACTCTTGGAATTCAGACATCATTTTAGTCGATCCACAATGCACTTCCTCCAAAGCTACGTATATCCTTTGTAAGGCGTGACTTGGGGGTTCAGGTGCATAGATCTTTTAAATGTCACAAACAGATGCAGAAAATAATCAATGGATACTGGCCTTTATATCTAGAGGACAGGAGTACAAGAATGTAGACACTGTCTGCAGTTATACAAAAACCTGGTTAGACCTTGTTTGGAGTACTGAGACCTAATCAGGACACCACACCTGAGGAAGAATATATTGGCCTTGGAGGGATTATAAAGTAGGTTTACAAGAATGATATCTGGACTTAAGGGGCTAAGTTATGAGGAGAGCTTATACAAGACAGGCCTGATTTCGCTAGGATTTAGAAAGGTAAGGAGTGGTCTGATAGATGCATTCAAGATAGTAACAGGAAATAACAGTGTAGATAACGATAAACTACTTCCACTGGTTGGAGTTCTAGAACTAGGAGGCATAGTCAGAGAATTAAGGCCAGACCATTCAGGAGCGATGTTAGGAAGCACTTCCACACACAAAGGGTGATAGAGGTTTGGAACTCTTCCACCATCGTCAGTGGATGCTGGATCAGTTATTAATTTTAAATCTGATACAGATACATTTTTGTTAAGCAAAGATATTAAGGGAGATGGGCCAACAGCAGGTCTATAGAGTTAGGCCAGGGATCAGCAATGATCTCGTTGAATGGTCAACTTGGCTCAAGGGGCTGAATGGTTTGTTCATGTTCTGATGTGTGCATTTTGAACTGCTCACAATATGCCAAGTCTGTTCTAACCAGGACATGATCTTTGTCCCCTTGTGTCTGAGTCCTCCATATATAAATACTCACGTTACAGTTGTATTTTTGATTATTTTATATACCTATTCGTGATATTTTAATGATCTATGAGCCTTAACCCCTAGGTTTCTTGAAACTTCCCCTGCTTCTGGCTTTTCACTGTTTTGAAAACTCCCTCTTTTAAACATTTTAGATCCAAAGGGGTCATCCACACATGCGCTGGCATAGAAATCTATTTGCCATGGTTTTGCCCATTCACTTAATCTATCAATACCTCCTTATAATTTTATGCTTCCATTCTCAATTCGATCCATGACAATAACAATAATATTTGTAACTTTATATTTGTAATTTGTGACCTCCAGCACAAAGCAAAAAAAGTGACTCATAAATCCACAGCTAGTGAGGAATCACTTCACATCCCAATGTCTACAGCTTGGTAGTAGGTTTGATTTTGTTGTCTAACAATATATGGGCGTTGCTGGCCAGGCCAGCATTCCTTGCCCATCCCTAATTGTCTTTGAGAAGGTAGTGGTGCGCTGTCTTCTTGAAATTGTACAGTTCATTTGGCGCAGGCACACCACAGTTCAGTTCCAGGATATTAATACTGTGTGTGTGTGTGTGTGTGTGTGTGTGTGTGTGTGTGTGTGTGTGTGTGTCTGTGTCTGGGGGGGTGTGTGTGTGCACGCGCTTGAGAGTTACTGCTGTGCATCTTGTAGATGGCACACATTGTTACCGCAGCTTCACTGGTGATAGGGTGCCAACCAAGTGGGCTGCTTTATGCTGGATGATGTAAAACCCTTTGAGTATTGTTGGAGCCGCACTTATCCAGACAATGATCACACTCCTGACCTGTGCCTTACTAATGGTGGACGGACACGCTGGTCCAGTTCAGATTCTGGTCGATGGTAATTCGCAGGATGTTGGTAACGATGTCTTAACATGGCTGTGCCTTTCAACAAACTGGTCTTAATCTCATTTTATCCACTGTCCCCTTATCTGATAGCAAGCAAAGTAATGATGAAGTCAAGTGGCATGCATTTGAGGCACAAATTTGCACATTCAAATTCACTGCGGGTTTAACTAGTCTACCTGAAATGATAACTGATGTGAAATACCTAGTGTTGGTGACTCCTCTTTTCAAAACTTGGTTTTCACTAATTTACTTTGATCTTTTCTACAGACACAACTGACACAACCACAAGCTCCCCTACAGCAACAGGCACCGCAGTCTCAAGTATGTTTGCAAAGGCCAATTGCACCTCTGTCCAGCAGTTCAGTAACTCAATGGATACATCGCTGATTTACCTCGCACCTGCAAACAGCACAGATATCCTAAATGTTGCAGTATTGGTGGGAAAGACCAGAACTGTGATAGACTTCTTTGGGATTACTTTGAAAGACATCGTAGGGTGGGAGTGGAGGAGGAAACCCATACCTAAGAGCACAAGTTCTCAATCCTTCACATGCCCTGTACCTCACACCCTGCATGCTCATTGATAGTTGTACTTCTAACCAAACCATGATATGGTTTGGAAAGATGAAGTAAATGACAACTCTTCTTTACAATCACGAATAAACCCATATTAGCAAGTTATCGATTGAAAAAAAACAATTATTTGGGATCTTTCTGTCATGGCCATAAAGATTTACAAAATTTTTATACAAAGTTGATAATGAAACATAGTTATCATGTTGTATAATCCAGATCTTTCTCATGTTGAAAACAGAAGGAAGGGTCAAAAATGAGGTGCAGACATCTAATGATGTGCACCTTTCCTCTGAAACAAACGTTCACTGTTTGGATGGTTCACAGTAATACCTAGCAGCAACCTTGACCTTGATGCACTCACTAAAAATATGGCCATTATGATCTTGATGAGTCAAAGGTTGAAAACTCTTGGGAGTTGAAATTATGCAGTGCACTAATTTGTGTGTACCTATTTTCATAATGAAAGAATTATCCATTGCAGGTAAGCAAACAGGTCAACATTAACATGTTGGGCAACAGACATATTTCAATTCTTTCTTTGCTCGCACCACAAGGTTCAGTTTCAAACTGCAGTGTTAAACAGCATTGATATATGCATCAGAAAGAAACAAAATGATACCCATCTACTGTTCTTAGTCTTCAGTTTAAAAGAGGGCATATTCTAGCATCCTTTCCATTCTGGTTGTGACTCATAATAGTCACCATTGGAAACAGGTTTATTACTTACAGACAAACAATGAAATCCCTTCATTTTCTAAATAGAAGGAATATGATGCTGTGTATATAAATCTGAATCCCATGTATTTTAGTTTCTCAGAACCAAATGATAAATTTTTCATTTCTGTTCTACTTGTGTCTGTCTGTGCTATTAAGCTTCTGTATTTTTGAAGAGCTTGTATTTTAATTTCCTGCGTGCCGATACTAATCTGAATAGTTTATGTGCAGGGTTTTGTGAATGTGAAATGTTATTGATGACCGGCTAAAATTTCCTGTCCTTTTCAACAGCTGCTAATTACCTATGAACTAAGCAAAAAGTAAAGATTTGCAAAGGCTCATATTTTGGATAAGGCTCCTTTTGCAGCTCTCTCTCACAACTGGCAGGCCATGGAAAAATGCTACTGATTCTCTTTTCTCTAGTAGTTGACTTGTGTCTCTGCCAAATATTAAACAATTTTATGATACCCTTACTGTAACATATTTTTCATGATTTCTGTGTGTCCAAAAATATGCTGTTGTCGTTATTTTCTCTGCATCCTCTCTGTGCTAAAATCCAGATTAGTTTTGGTACCTGTTGCTTTAAGGATGCACCACAGTGTAATTACAGCATTGGCAGAAAATGGTTTCACTTAACAGAAATTCTCCACTTAATGTGGAAATAAAGTTTGAATCCATTGCCAGAGTCCAGTTGGGGATTTTCATCCCTGCAGGATCTTCCTGAAGTGTTCAGGAATTAAAACATAGTCTTGCAGACATTGCCATCCATAACCCAGAAGGAAAAGCCTATCGGCTTGAAAAAATTGCATTTATCTTTTTTTCACAGCAAATTTCTTACTGAAAGTGTTAGAGATGAAGGAAAGAAACACTTTCTTGAACAGGCAGGGGAGGAATGTTTTTCACCCAGAGGGTGGTGGGAATCTGGAACTCACTGTACATAAGAGTGGGAGAGGCAAAAATGCTGATAACATTTAGGAAATATTTAGATCTTCTCTTGAGATGCCAAGGCTATGGGCCAAGTACAAGAAAATGGCATTGGAATAGTTAGTTCGTTATTTTTTGTTTTGAACAGCATGGATAATAAGGGCTGAAGGGCCTTTTTCTTTGCTGTGGATTTCTGTGACTCTCTGATATTTAGAGGGGGAGGTCATTTGATGAAACTTCCAGAAATACATCACATTAGTTGGTAACCTTGGTCGAACCTTGCTGGGGAAAACGACCTTGACAACTGATTGAAGTGCACAAATTTAGTGTTGGTGCTAAGTTGAATGTGCTTTATAGCAATGCTATACTTACATTATGGAAGACTAATGGTTTTTTCATGCAGTCCTTAACCATGCATTTCCTTGCCTTATTCAGTATCTCCTTCTGCTGTAATCTATAGAAAATTTCAAAATCTGATTTTGACACCACTTCAGCACAATGTCCAGATTTTTCTTCCTTTTTCTCATTTCCACATGGTTTGACTTTGATGTTTTGTCTATTTGTCTGTTGATGTCTTTCCTTGGTTTTTAATTTAAGAAAACCATCTCTAAACTGTTAGTTGAAATGTTCCTGTTCCCAAGTCTGCTCAACACCAAAATTTCATAAAGGTGATTATTGTTTAACACACTTGACACATGCCAAAGTAGTGTACTGTTTGTGCATAAACTGCTTAAGTAGAAAATGCATTTATTTGTGGAAATTAAGAATACAACTTTGTAACATGCTGTAATGTGGTTTTAATCCTAGCTACCCCAGCTGGAGATAAGGATTGTGGTAAGAAAACTTCTCTTGCTTTTTTACAGTGTAAATGATCTATTGTTCAATAAAAACGATAAATTGTGTTTTTATAGATGCTGATTATTTGTTTGCGTTACAACATGAAGGCAAACGGCCAAATTTAAATCAACCTCTTCTGAGCTGGTAATTTGGAAACAAAATTGGCTTGGTCACAGAGGGTAGTTGTGGAGGGTTGTTTTTTTCCTCTGGCTGGAGGTCTGTGACCAGTGATATTCCACAAGGCTTAGTGCTGGGACCTCTGTTGTTTGTAATATATATAAAGGAATTGGATGAAAATGTAAATTGTCTGATTAGCTAAATTTGTAGATGACGCAAAAATTGGAGGAAGGATGTCAAAGGATGCAGCAGGATATAGATCAGTTCAAAAGTTGGACAGAGAAATGGCAGATGAAGTTTAGGCGAAGAGTGAGGTGGTGTATTTTGGGAGGTCAGATGCAAGAGGAACATGTGCAGTAAATGGCAGGACCCTTAGGAACTTTGATATAGAGAGGGATCTTGGGGTGCAAGCCCATAGCTCCCTGAAAGTAGCAACACAAGTGGATAAAGTGGTAATGAAGCACGCTTCCCTCATCAATCGGAGCATTCAGTGTAAAAGTTGACAAGTCATGTTGCAGCTGTAAAACATCAGTGAGGCCTCATTAGGAGTATTGTGTGCAGTTCTAGTCACCACACTATAGGAAGGATGTGGAGGCTTTGGAGAGGGTGCAGAAGAGCTTTACCAGGATGTTGCCTGTTTGGGAGTGTATTAGCTATAAGGAGAGGTTGGATAAACTTGGATTGTTTTTGCTAGAGCGTCGAAGGCTGAAGGGTGACCTGATACAAGTAGATAAAATTATAAGAGGCATGCATAGGATGGTGGATAATCACAGTCTTTTCCCCGGAGAGGAAATGTCAAGTACTAGTGGGCATTGATTTAAGGTGAGAGGGGGAAAGTTTAAAGGAGATGTACAAGGCAAGTTTTACATAGAAGGTTGTAGGTGCCTGGAATGCGCTGCCAAGGGAAGCGGATACGATAGCAACATTTAAGAGGCATTTGGACAGACTGGGAATAGAGGCATATGGACCACGTGCAGGCAGATGGCATTAGTTTAGAATGGCAACATGGTTGGCATAGACATGGTGGGCTGAAGGGTCTAGTCCTGTCCTGTACTGTTCAATGCTGCATGCACCATTAAACATCTGCAATCTGCTGGAACATAGTAAGGAAACAGTCCATACTGACCCTCCGAAGATCATCCCACCCAAACCCACCCCCCTACCCTATCCCTGCATTGCCCATGGCTAACACACTTAATGTACACAGCCCTGGACACTATGGACAATTTAGCATGGCCAATTCACCTAAACGTGCACATCTTTGGACTGTGGGAAGGAACCAGAGCACCCAGAGGAAATCCACACAAACATGGGGAGAACGTGCAAACCTCACATCGACAGTCATTTGAGGGTGGAATCGAACCTGGGTCCCTGGTGCTGTGAGGCAGCAATGCTAACAACTGAGCCAAACAAGAAAACCCAATAAACATAACACGCAAACTTTCTACTATCACTACAGGTTTGACGAATGTCTCCCATTCCTGATAGAGAAAACATAATTAATCCAGGGAGAATGTAATAACTACCAACTTTCTGGTCTCTACCTTAGGACATGAATTGTAACTTCTCGTTGCATGGTAATAGATAGCAAATGGCTGGAGATTTGTTGGATCTCTTCCTGGTTGTTCTGTTGGCATAATATCCACTGATGTAATCCAGTACTCACCCCACCTGTACTTGCCCAGGAACACTATTTTAATGACAGGCAAAGGGTAGATCTAAGTGCCACTTTAGGCACATTCCCTACCTTTTCTCTGCCACTTTTTAATCTAAAGATGACAATTATTGAGGTTTTATTCACTCAAGTGTAACAGTATCCACAGAAATTAAAGGTTCCCTTCTAGTCACTGAAGTCGAAATTCCGAGTTTAAGGAGTGAGCATTCTTGTTTTTGTTCCCAGTTATCATTTGCCTTGGAAGAGATGGAAGGAGAGTCATTCTGTTGCATGGCAACAAGGAGGCTTCCAGCATTATAATTGGAGATCTCTAGCCTATCTAGAAATTTGGGGCTACCATTATTGCATTGACTCACTGTTGAATTGACAGTATTAGATATCTCATGGCAAGATGGTGATGATTTGTACTTGCACATGAAAATTAAAATGCAGCCTAGAGGTCTAGAATCATGTAACGAGACCCTGCCTAGAACTCCCCTTCTGCACCCAATGGACATAAGCTCAATCCTTCCATGTATAGCCACCTCAGAATAACAACTTGAGTCGTGGGGAATGAGAGTGTTGACAGAAAAATGTTCGATTCTCTGCTGACCTGCTGTTGGTCCTCTGATCACATATAAGATCACTTTAGGGATGGTGACATTTGTTGGAGCAATGACCACTAGAACCATGGGACCTGGTCGCCACTGCGTGCATGATCTGCAAAAGAAGCCCACTCCCAGCTTTCTTACTGTCTTAAAAAAAACAGTGGTCTTTAGTTGCTCCTCTTCTGTACTGGAACTGTAATGCCAGCAAATCTTGCTCCAGGCCAGCATTTGTGGAATCATTCTGTAGGACCACATGGATGCTGAAATCCACCCTGTCTTTTTCTTTAGCAAAAAGCAGAGAAAATTGGTTGAGCTTGATGTAGAGGTTGAATTGAGTGGGGAGGTCATGTCCCCTCTCCAGCTCATGTCCCCATCAGGACGTTCAGTGCTGCAAGTCTGCATGGAAAATGAGTGTGGTGAGAGAGAATATTGGTCCCAAATGGAAATGCTATTATTGAGGGACAAAAAAAAACTTTGGTAACAGGATGTCCAGGATGTCTCCAATTGATGGATTTCTATAGTAACCAACATAAGTAGGTGATCTACCCATCATTTTGTCCACTTTCCATTGTGTGTCCTGTACAGACTGCCCATTAATGTTGGTGGAAGTCAGAAATCAGACTGGCAAAATCTAAAACAAGTTTGAAACAAATGAGATTTGTGGAAGTATTTCATTAGCAAAGGGGCAATGGCTGATTTACTTGTGTAAGAGTCACTCTTGCACTAATATTTGATAAAATGTGGATGCTTTTTTCACCTCTTGCTCAAAGAAAAAATAATTGACCTTTCTGGAGAATGCTTTTTCATGAATCTACACATGATGATAACTTGATTTTTTTAAAATCTCTTTTTCATTTTTTTCAGAGAATGCTTCAGTTACTATTGAAGCATGGAATGTCACAAGTAACAGTGTCACCCTGACCATTACTTACAACCTCAGTGAAGATCAGAGCATCATAATTAAGAATAAAATGTTTGAATTGCCTGGAAATAACAGCAAGGTCACTGTTGTCTTAGAGGGATTAGAACCCTGCAAGAGTTATGAACTCAGTGGGACCCTCAATGGGACTCTCAGTGAGAAGTGTCACCTTTCTATTAAACCAATAAACATCATAACACATCCGCCTAGTAAGTGTTGTTTAATTAGCCTTTAACATACTTCAAAATGCTCCAAAGCATTGTGTTTGTTAGTGTAGTTCACAGTGTGATGATGTTTAGTTCTGATTAAATTTGCAGTCTTCCAAGCTTGTAACTTTTCAAGGTTTTGATGTATCCAAGTACAAATATAACACGGATTAATAAGAGCATATGTGATTATTTTCAACTCTTCTTTATAAGATGAAAAATTCACCATAAAAACAGAGAATCAAACTGAAGATGCAATTCATTTTACTCTGGTCAAACCTGCATCTACGTCTGAGTGCAATTTCACGTATAATTGGAGCTGCAATTCATTGCAAGGTATTTATAAAAGGAATTTTATTGCGTTTTTTGTTTGCATTATTCACAGTCTGCAAGAAAGCAACCAATCTTCCAAAACATCATATGTGACATTAACAAAATTTGTTTTCATTCAAACAAAGCTGTTGCAAATAGTTCAGATGGGCAAGGTGATATATTCCATTTATTTAGCCTGTTTTGTGGCGCCAGGGTTATGCTAATGAAGCTCTAAACTTTTCAAGCATAATCTTTTTGGCACAATGTAGGAAATACAGCTTGCACACAAGGTCCCACAAACTGCAGTGAAATAAATGACCAGCTAACCTATTTCTTAACTATTTTTTGATGGATAACTTTTGGGCTGAGGCCTGAAGATCTCAGATAAAAGATGGTACCACGAACAGTGCAGAAAAATCTGAATTTGAGCACTGGAAAGCCCTTAACTGCAGTGATAAACTATTGACAGAACCACAGTAATGTTATTGTGCTGAAAGAGGCTATTTGGCCCGTCATGTCTGCACCAAAATGGAAGCAGACACCACCACCCCACTTTCGATTCCACTGTCCTCGAATTTTTGAAGCCGCTAAAATTCAGCCAAATTACCTTCTGCAGTTGTTGGGTAGGGACAGAAGCAAGATGGGAACTAGCATTCTCTGGCATAACCTCATGGCCAGTGATTTGACCTGTGGAGCCCCAGAATTTTGAATTGGCCTGAGAAATCCAGCTTTTATCAGAACATCTTTGGGCATGCAGACAGAGAAAGTGGAGTTGAGACCACAATCTAATTAGACGGGATCTTATTGAGTGGTGAATTAGTCTTCAAAAGCCAAATGGCCTATGAACCAAGTAGGGAAATCTCAGTCAAAAATCAGTCAAGACACTCCTGAGTGTTTTGCTCACCTCAGTTGAGGGGTAACTGTTTGTTTCAATTGAAACTGTTTTGTTTAATATTCACAACACAAGGATTGGATTTACTGTGAGATTGTGTCTGTCATAACTCTTAATCTCCATATTTAAGACAGCAGTATATCATCTACAATCGTGAGTTGTGAAAATGTAATCGTAGGTCTCTTGACAGCATTCTTCCAAGTAAAATATACCGTCTTATACTTCATTGTATTGGAATTTATTTGTTCATTCTATGCTGAAGAACTACAATTTGAAGTTTCTTTCCTTGTCCCCCAACATCAACATCCTTCCCTCAAATAGAAACACTCACTAGACTTCCCTTTGAATCTTACATCCTTCTGACTATTGTTCTGAGGCTGCAGGATGTTTCTGTATCTTCCCACTCCCTGACCCCATTGCAGGTTGTGATGTCTTCTATCTCACCCCGTCACACACAATCACTTCAGAGACTGTACACTGTTCTGTCTTTGTGCCTCCCATGTAGAGGAGGCGGTACACCCAAGTCGTGAGACGAGAAGAATAGAACAGCATAGCAGAAACCTGTTTGATCAATTTTCTTGAATCATTTATCCGAAGAAGTAATAGGATAGATGAAGATAGTGCAGAAGAGGGTAATATATTAAAGAGTAGACTAGTAACATAGATGTATTTATAGGGAATCTAGGTAAGCCTACCAGAGACAAAGAAAAAGAAGGAAAAGCTAATGGAATTAGCTGAAGTGGAATGAAGGAGGCTGATCTGAAGTATAAACACTGACCAGTTGGACCAAATGGCCCATCTCTGTGCTTTGTTTTCATTGTAAGAGAAATACCTCTTTACCAGGATTGATCAACATTGAAAGTAAAGCCATCCTGCAAGACCCTGATTGGATGATTTTTTGTCATATACCTCAAAAAATCATGAAAATTAATCTTGCCCCTGAAATGTCTACCAGAGATAACCCCAGAAGGGGAAGCAGAAAGTACCTCAAAAGTTTGAGCAACAAGTGAAGCTAACTGTTTCATGTTAGTAATTTGCAGAAGTTATATTCACCCCTAACAGAATGCTACCATCCATCTGAAAAGACATTTTGAATATCACATGTGAGCAATGTGGTATATGAATTTCAATGCCGGTGTGATGTTGAGTATGTAGATTGTACGCCTCAAATGCTGGTGGCTAACCAGTCTGTGCTTGTAAAAGTCCAGACAGTGTCCAACATTAAATGTGATTCTGTAATTGGACAAGATTTGCTATGTAACCCTGTGCATGTGAAGAATTGCACTGAGAGCCATGTTAGGGTTGTCAGTCAGGCTCGCAGTGTGGCATACTCGTGCATACTGGAAGATACTATAACAATACTCAGGCCTCATTCTTTGCTGAGAGAAAGAACAGGTACAACACTGCACAAAACCAAAAGAACTGTGGATGCTGTAAATCAGAAACAAAAACAGAAATTGCTGGGAAAGCTCAACAGGTCTGGCAGCATCTGTGAAGAGAAATCCAGAGTTAACATTTTGGATCAGGTTCTGAGGAAGGGTCACTGGACCCAAAACATCAATTCTCATTTCTCTTCATAGATGCTGCCAGACGTGCTGAACTTTTCCAGCAACTTCTGTTGTTGTTTTGGAGGTACAATACTATGTCTGTTTCTTCTCAACAAAATAGGTAAGAGCCGTTCTCTGGTGCATTCCTTCGGGCAATGCCTTAACCAATCTAAATCAAGCTGCCTTGTTTAACATTTAAACAAAGCTTGATATTTAACTGTCAATCACCATTACATTCTTAATAAATAATCCTCCACGACTTCGAGTCTGAATGATCACTTTCCACTAATACGTGATAACTGTTGTTTTCCCTTTACTTTGCTCTTTCTGGTGAATTGTCCTGATGTGTGCATGATGAAGAGCTTTGTCAAAATGTGTTTTTTTTCAGCAATAGAAACAATGTATCAGTTCAGACACGTTTGAAATGAATCCATCATTGTTTTCATGTATGTGTTTTGCCTTTCAGAAAATGCAACAATGGACAGTGTAAGAATTTATAATTGGAGTGCCTGTAAGCTATACAATTGCTCTGTTAGCATTGAACAAACATCAACAAAATGGAGGAAGACTGTAATGGCGAGTGAAACACTACAATACAAAGGTAAGCAGTCAAGATTCCAATAAAGTGTCAATCAGATACCTTAGTAACTCTGAAACATTGCTGTGAAATGAGGATGACTTTTCTCGTTGGAATGCATGCCACATGGAATGAGTATCCTGGAATTAGGAAAAGATCTCTCAATCATTCTCTCATTGGCTTTACAAATTCCTCTCAGTTTGACCAAAAGATTGTTGCTGAATTTTTGACTGCTGCTTTCTTTGTGGCTCTTACATTTCTGTTGTTAGTGATAAAAATTCAGATTGGCATCCTCTGAGGTCAGTTAAAGGAAAAAAGAGGACACCAGGTAGTTTCTGTTGTACCAGGGCTAACAAACCATGTGTGCAGACCAAAATACCTAGCCTCAGAATGACGGTTGGTCAACTTGCTTTTCAGCCTCTGCCTCATCAGAGACCAAGTGACTGACTTATGTTTGTGCTCATATGTGACCCACAAGCAACATCAGTCCTTAGCACAGAATTGTGTGATAATACCATGACTTGAAGAGGCATATCTCGACCCGTTTTTCTTTTGAAGAAAGGTTTTGAGCCATACGTGTGAGTGGTGCATTCAAGCCATAAAAGTAAATAGCTTGTGAGGCCTTGAGTTTTTTTTTTAAATGTTAAAACGATAGAAGCAGCATGAATAGGTGGAGCCAGTCTCCCACAGAACCGGGCTTTTAGTTTGGTTTTCAGCAATTATTGGGGTTTTGAAATTGGTTGTGGAGGCTGCCATTCATCTCTCTGTCTGCTAGAATTTTCTCTTAATGTTGGACCGGAGAAACATTGCATGTGAGACAATCTATTTTGCTGAATTTGTCTTTGCCAAGGTTGCGTTTAGGGGATGTTACTATATTGGACCAGTTGCTGTTTAGTCTAGTATTCTGTTATTATTAGTCTGTTAATCTATTATTCTAATAAGTTTTTCAACAGAGTTAAAGTTATACCAATCCTTCTTTCTTTTGTTTGCATTTAAATTAGAGGTAACAACAAGGTGTGTTTTGCTTAAAGCCAAGTAATGTAGCCAATCAAATTATATCTGGAACACAGAACCTTACACTTCCCTTTAAATAAGATAAAAGTTAAGGCCTAGGCTGTCTCCTAGATATGTTTGAAGGGGGTTTGATCTGGTCCATAACAATTGCTAATGCTACTGATGAACACTAAGCTTCTTATCCCTCTGATCCTCATAAGCAGCCAACTTACCTTCATGCCCCATAAACTCTAACTTATCCAAAGCTCTGCCACTGGTAATCATGTCTCACACCACGTTTTTCTTTCCATCACCCCACTTTATTGCACTGATTCTCCATCATTCAGTGTGGTAAATGTAAATCCCTGTCATCATCTATGATTCCAGTGTGTTTTCATCACACATTATTCTATATTTGCCAGCCTCCTGTTGGAGCCTCATATGCAATCTCTTTCTTCGCACCAAATTTGAATCCTTTTGGACATTATTTTCAATGAAATCGCAATATCAATGTTAAATTATTTTTGCTGTGAATAGACAGTACAGTATCTATCTTCATCTTGCCTCCATTCCCAGTGTGATTTGTATCTATTGTGCTGAAAGCTGGGAATGTAAAAATCCTGCAACTGAGTTTAGTCCTATTTCCTTCTATGGTGGGACATAAATATATTTCCAAGTTGAAGAAGATACATGTAAGTTGTACTTCCATGATTTGCTTTGCAAAGCACTAGTCAATGTTCAATGTGCTTCAGTCCTATCTTACACACTGTTCTAGTAGGAGAATGAAAGGTAGGTCTTTCCAAGATCTTTAAAGTTGTCTGAGGATTTGAAACATAAAGCAAGTTGACAGATAATGTTTCGTGGCATGCTGTAGCTCTAGTTCCTCCTAAATGCTCCATTCCTGTGATTGTGGCCTTTCCTGCACACCCTCCCTTATTCTTTGAGTAATTGGGCCATATCAATGTTCTGCCTTTTACAGGCCCCAGTGAACGGTCACTGAAGAAATGTATCTCTAACATCTCAATCACCTTATGCAAGAACATCGACCACACATTACATGACAGCTGGACAAGAGTCAATTTAGGCATCAATGAGTTCAAATGGTTCTTAGAAATATAGATAGAATATTTGCAGAATTGCTGATACTGTTTTATTTAAATTTTATAGAACCTAATAAACCAAAAATTCTCAACACACTGCCTTCAAATGTGAGCATTACCGTGGAGTGGACAATTAATGTTACCAAACTAAAACCAGTAACATCTATTAATCTGTCTTGCAGACTTAAGGACAGTAAAGGTAAGTACCATTCTTCCTATGAGTAAGACAACAGCAGCAGTTGCAACCTTGTAATTGAAGTGAAATATCTGGGGATCTTTTTGCTTTATGATTTTCTGTAACAGGGAAACATATACATCCTCATGTTCCTTGGATAGGCCCTGTTTATTCTCCAAATTGTGAGATGAAAATGGCATGGAGGTCTCTCAGGGTGTCTAGAATCTGAGTGAACAGGACAAACAAATGTGGGTCTCCTTAACCAGTCATCTTGAGGAATTATAATATTAACAGCATTAAGAGGTATAAATTTAGTTGTCAAATCAATTATGAGGGAAAGAAAAGGCAGAATGACAGAGATTTAAAAATACTACAGACTAGAAGGAAAGTATAAAAACATTTTTATTTTAACATTTTCTCAGAAGTCAGCACTTCAAACTTGAAGCAATGGGACACCACATTTAAGACCATAAGAAATACAAATAGGAGTAGGCCATTTGGCCCGTCGAATCTGCTCCTCCATTCAGTAGGATCGTGGCTAATCCAACATTTCTCGCATCCACTACCCTGCATTTTCCTAATAACCCTTGACACCCCGACTGATCAATAATCTATCTATCTCAGCGTTAAATATACACAAAGACTCTGTTCCCATAACTGTCTGTGGAAAGGAGTTCCAAAGACTCTCAACTCTCTGAGAGAAGAAATTCCTCCTCACCTCAATATAAATTGCTGCCCTTTCAATCTGAGACTATGCCCTCTGGTCTAGATCTCCCATGAGGGGAAACATCCTCTCAGCATTTATACCGTCAGGCCAATTAAGAATTCTACAAGTTTCAATGAGATCACCTCTCATTATTCTAAATTCCAGTGAGCAGAGTCCCACCCTGTTTAGCCCATGCTCATAAGACAGTCTCTCCATACCTGGGATCAACCTCATGAACCTTCTCTGAACTGCCTCCAATGAAATTATATCTTTCCTTAAATAAGGAGACTGAAACTGCTCACTGTACTTGAGATGTGGTCTCACCAGCACCTTGTACATTTGCAGTAAGATTTCCCTATTCTTATACACCAACCACCTGGAAATAAGGGCCAACATTCTATTAGTCTTCCTGACTACCTGTTGCACCTGTGTGGTAGCTCTCTGTATTACTTGCACAAGTACCCTCAAGTCCCTTTGTGTTGCAGCTTTCTGCAGTTTTTCTCCATTTAAATAATGCTGTGTTCATTTATTATGCCTTCCAAGATGAACAACTTCACATTTTCCCAAATGATAACTCATTTGCTAATTTTTTGCCCTTTTTTTTTAACCTATCAATAGCTCTCTGTAAACCGTTTGGCTGACTCTACAACATGCCTTGCCACCTATTTTTGTGTTATCTAAAAGTTTTGCTACTGTACACTTGCTTCCTTACTCCAAGTCATTAACGTGAATTGTAAATAGTTGTGCCCCAGCATTGATCCCTGTGAAACCTCTCCCATTACAGGTCACCAACCTGAAAAAAAACACCCTCATCACCACTTACTATTTCCTGCCCATTAGCTAATTCTCTATCTACACCAATATATTACCTCCAACACCATGGACTTGTCTTATGATTTAACCTTTTGTGAGGTACATTGTCAAATGTCTTCTGGAAATCCAAGAGCAATATATCTACTGGTGCTCGTCTATCCACTCTGGGTGAGACTTCCTTGAAAAGCACTAATAAATTTGTCAGACTCAATTTCCCTTTCACGAAGCCATGCTGACTCTGCTTAATTTGATTTTCCAAAAGTGGTATTATTACTTCCTTAGTAATTGATTCCAATACCTGTCCCACAATAGATGCTAGGCTAATCAACCTGTAGTTACCCAGTTTTTCGCCTACCTCCTTTTTTGAATAGATGTGTCACATTGGCAGTTTTCTGTTCCTCAGGCATGTCTCCAGAATCCAAGGATTTGTGGGAAATTACAACCAGTGCACCCACTGCCTCTATAGATACTTCCTTTAGACCAAGGGACTTATCTGCCTGAAGTCTAATTAGTTTGTTTAATATTGCTTCTCTCTTGATGGTAATGGCACTTAATTCCTCCCTTGTATTCTTTAGTGTTAATGGGATGTTCAAAGTATCTTGTACTGTAAAGACTGATGCAAAGTATCTGTTTAAGTCCTGTGCCATTTCCTTGTTCCCCATAACTAGCCCCCCGATTCATTTTCTCAAGGGTTTAGGTTCACTTTACCTCTTTCTTCCTTTTTATATATTTAAAGAAACTCTTACTATCAGTTTTAATGTTCTTCGCTAGATTGCCTATGCAATTTTCTCTCTTTATTATCTTTTTAGACCTCCTTTGCTGGATTCTGAATTTATCCCAGTCTTTAGAGCTAACACTGATTTTTGTCTCCTTTATATGCTTTTTCTTTCAACGATATGCTGTCCTTAAGTTCCCTGGTTAGCAATGATTAGTTCATCCCTCGCTTAGAATCTTTCCTTCCGACTGGGATTTATTTTTGCTGAGAGTCTTGAATTAGTTCCTCAAATGTCTGCCACTGCCTGCTTCCTATCTTTCCTGTTAATCTATCTGCCCAGTCCACTTTAGCTAACTCTATCCTCCTTCCATTGTAATTCCCTTTGTCTGAGTTAAACACACTTGTTTCCAACCCAAGTTTCTCTCATACAAAATGAATATTAAATTCTGCTATGTTATGATCACTACTTCCTCGGGGATCTTTTAGTCTGACATCATTTATTAACTGCCTCCTTACCCATTACCAGATGCAGGGCAGTCTATTCCCTGGTTAAGTCCATTGCATATCACTCTGGGAAACTATCTGTAAATCACTCCGTGTATTCATTGTCATAGATACCCTTTCCAACTTGATTAATCCAATCAACATGAAGATTAAAGTCACCCCTAAGTATTGCTCTATTCTTTTTACATGTTCCTATTATTTGTTGACTTATAGCCATTCTGACAGAGTGGCTACTGTTTCGAGGTCAATATGCTACTCCTGCCAATGTCTTCTTTCCCTTTCTGTTTTTTTACCTCCACCCAAAGGGACTCTACAACATCAAGCCTAGATCATCTCTCGCAAGTGTCCTGATTTCATCTCACAGTAACAGTATTACCCAAACACCTTTTCCATCCCTCCTGTTTTCTGAAAGATCAAATATCCAGGAGTGTTAAGTTCCCAGTTCTGATTTCCTTGTAACCATGTCTCTGTAATCGCTATGAGATTATATTCATTTACCTCGTTTTGTGCTGTATGCTCATTTACCTTATTCTAAATGCTTCGTGCATTAAGATACAAAGCCTTTAGACTTGCCTTTTGCTATTTTTAATCACCCTAACCTCTCCTTGTACTGTGGTCCTAATTGCCTCTTGCCCTTGATTATCCTGTCCACCATTTTTGAATTTTACTGTTCTTACTTTTATTACCGTCTTTGTTTCTCTTTCTCTTGTCACCCTGTTTAGGTCCATACTCTACTCCCCACCTCATCCCCCGACATCAGTCCTGGTCCTGCCCTTCCAATTTGTATTGGTCCCACCTCCCACAGAACCGGCTCCAATGTCCCCGAAATCTGAAACCCTCCTCTTGCACCATCCTCCGTAGTTACTCTTCTCCAGCTAGGATCGTTGGCAGTAATTAATAATTATCACATTATCACAAGTACTTCATCTTGAAGAACTTGATTTGATTTTCTTGGCTGAGTTTGCTTTGTATCCAGTCTCTCAAATACATCAATTTAATGTCATCAGTTATTATATCAGTTCTCTTTTAAAATTTGCTATGGAATAAGTTTCCACCACCTTTTGGTCAGTGCATTCCAAGTCATAACTATTCCCTCCAGAAAATATTTTTTATTCTCCATTGATTCTTGAAATTTGTGTGATGCAGTTCAAAACATCCCTGCATATGGAAGCAATATGTCCCCATTTACTTTACCAAAATCCTTCATGATGTTAAATGTCTCTCTTAAACCTCCCCTTAAGCTTCTCTGCTGTAACAATAAGTAGCATTTGGAAAGCATCAATAATGTCCCAAGATGCTCCTCAAAAGGACAATTAGAGCAAGTTTCTCTCGTCTCCAAGTAGCTGAAGACACAAATTCAAGACCTTGACTTATTGACAGTTCTAGTTGTCTGATCTCTACTATTAATTTCACAGTTTTTACATAAACAAGGTTAAGGAATTGTGACTTCAGCTATTCCTCATTAACCCTGCTCCCATTCTCTCTCTCTCTATCTCTCCCCCCTCTGCTGCCATCTTTCAGTCTCCTTATTCACTCCCGCAACCTCTTCCTCCCTCAGTGACTCCCACAGTGTCCATGTTGGTCAACCCCACAGTCTCCATGAAAAGGTCACTTCAGTGCTCAGGCTCCTATGCCATCATTCTCTTTCCTGCTTGCTGCTGCTCAGGTCACAGGCTGATTTATGAGACAGTCACAGGCTTCTTTTCCTCTGTACTTGCTGCTAATAGAAAGATACTAGTTAGATGCAGTTGAGCCTGTTAATAGCAAGGATGGGAGAAAAACAACCTGAGACTGGAGGATGGTGGAACATAGAACCTGAGCACCAGCGACACTTATATTAATTTGAATTACAGAGAGAGGAGGCTGAAAAATCCAACATTGCACAATTGAGAGGGGAATAGCGCCAGGTATATTTACTATATTGTCAAGCCATATAGAAGCCACATCGGAAATATTTATTATGTTATTCATTTCGGTTTTTGGCATGTATAGTTTGGTGGGGATGCCATTGTAACTGTTTGTCAAAATGTTTCTATGTGACTGTGATTGCTGAGAATCTTGGATTGGGAGGTGGGTGTGATGGAGCGGTTTTGTTCAATATGATGGACGAGACTAGAGAGAAGAAAATGAAAGGGAAAGTACTCTGAGACAAGTCTCATAAAAGCAAAGAACAGAAAAAAATTGACAACAAAAATGCTGCAAATTGATGTCTTGGATTAATGAATTTGTATTTAACCTCTTGAAATCTACAGAAAATGGAACCTGGCAGTCAAACAAGGATCACCACAATCAGAAACACAATTTCTGTAAGTAGATTTGGGGGTCAGGGAGGTCCCTTTAATGAATCCTAATGGTAGATGTGTCTACCAATAGTCAAACACCCAAGGCACAAGCTAACAAATTCAAGTTCAAGTGTACAACAGAATACACTGGGCTATGGAGAGAATGGGCGGTGATGGTGGGAGGCCATATCTCTTGTAATTACCCAATGGTCACATCCGAAAGGGATCTCTTTTATTCAACATTTTCAATTGTGCCCAAACTTCAAGAGCAGGGGTTGGCACTGACCTCAGCTCCTAGATTCGAATGAGTTGGCAGAGCTGTTTGGTCCAAGGAACCAGTCTCTCCAGCTCTCTCTCTCTCTCTCTTTCTCTCCATCCTTTTCTCTTTCTTTTTCTCTCTCCAGTTTCCCCTCCTTGCTTTCTCACCTGGCCTCTTGCTCCCTTTCTTCCCTTCTTCTCTCTCCCTTTTTCTCCCTCCCCCTCTTGCCCTCCCTCTCTCCAACCCCTCTCCAGCCCCTCTCCCTGTCTCTTTCCCTCGCTGTCTCTAGGCTGAGGAGCTCCGCAGTTAACAAATCTCCATCCTTCTCTCCATGCCACACTCGCTGCAGAGACTAAGTATGGGACTAGCAAAAGTTTCAAGATCAGAAAGCCATCCAGGCATGTGAAAAGATAATCAAAGAATCGCAACAAATTTTCAAAGCAGAGTTTGCCAAATATAAGCATTTGTAAGAACAATTTAAAAGCTGTATTGCTGGCTTCACAGGGAAAAATGTAACTCGAGAAGATACCATAGAACAATTTTCACAAACATGCAAAGGCCTGCGTCCATATACAAATTATGAAGTAATCGTTACAGCCAACAATAAAGATTGCAAAAATGAAAATAAATTAAATTCAAGAACTGCACATGTTATGACCAATGCAAGTGGTAAGTATTCCAATGATATAATTGAATTATAATACCTCGTTCTGTTGTTCATTTAAAGGCCATTACCGTTTTATTCTTCCTCAGAGCATGGGTATTTACTATCCATTTATAGTTGCACTGTAATGATGGGAATCACATTCTGCTGCTGTACTTTTTCCCTAAAGCAAAGTATGCCTTTCATGGATTTGAACTGATGGTGTATTATATCCTCGTATTTCCATGTGTTCGTTCATTCAGTCTGCTTGAGTGCCAATCTTAACTTCCTAACATTTCAACAGCAATAAGAAAACAAATCACAAAAGAAAATGATTGTAGATGCTTAAAATCTGAAATAAAAACCAAAAATGCTGGAAAATATTCGGCAGATCCAGATTAAGAATGTAATGATGACTGTGAATCCATTGTTGACTGTTGGAAACTCCTGTCTGGTTCACTAATGTCCTCGAGGGAAGGAAACTGCCATCCTTACCTGGTCTGGCCTACATGTGACTCCAGATCCACAGCAATGTGGTTGATTCTGAACTGCCCTCTGGGCAATTAGGGATGGGCAATAAATGCTGCCGAGCCAGCGATGCCTTCATCCCGTAATGGATGAGAACATCAGACAGCATCTTTGGACAAAGAAATGTACCAGGCCCAGAATGATTGAAAGGGGGTGTGAGGACTGCTGATAACTGTATCAGCAGCAACACTTTTTCAACAGATAACCAGGCGTAGGTTTTTCAAAATGACGTCGTTATGACAGCATGGTTGAACCACAAGCATGGCTAATGGGGAGGCGGCGGCTGGTGGCATTATCACAGGACTGTGAATCCAGAGACCCCTGAGTTCTGGGTTCAAATCTTGCCACGTTAGATGGTGGAATTTGAATTGAATAAAAATCCAGAATTAAGAGTCTAATGATGATCATGTTGATTGTTGGGAAAAACCCATCTAGCTCATAATGTCCTTACCTGGTCTGGCCTACACGTGCCTCCAGACCCACAGCAATGTGGTTGACTCTTAACTGCCCTCTTGGCAATTAGGGATGGGCAACAAATGCTGACATAGCTAGCAATGCCCACATCCTGTGAATGAATAAAAAGAATGCACTTATCTAAGCATGGGTCTGCTTGCATGGCTTAAAAAAGAGTGCTAGCATGGAGCAACACCTTTATTCTTTTGTAATAACCTGATATTCCTTTGTGTATTGCCAATGCTGTGTGTTTACCTGGATAAAATTAAGATGTATAAAATGGATTGAAGGTGTCCACAATGGCACTTTCACTTCCTGAGTTTCAATGACAATTGTATGAGAAGGTAAGGGAGCAATGCTTTTCACAGAGAATGTTGAATGACTTTTTTTTAAAATTTATGAACATTTTAAGCACTTATCTGTGTTTTTGTATGGATCATGTGTTACATGCTTTGTGCATGAGTGGGTGTGGAGGCCTGTCAGTCATAGGGAAAACTGAGATGGCATGAAGAAGCCATGGAAGATGTTAAAGGATGGAGATGCGGCAGGGTGAGATTTTAAGTTTTAGAAGGAAGTGTAGATCAATTTAAATTAGTTCAATTTGTTTGAGCTCACCTAAGTAAAATTTTGAATTTACTCCTTCAAACTATATAAGTTAAATCCAAGAAGTCCTACGGAGATACACCATCAGGCAAGATTAGGACCTGAGTTTGGGAATATTATCATATTCTATTAAGTATAAACAAGTAAGACACTAATATCATATAAGTTTCTACATATTACAAATGCAGGACAGACATTAAAGTGGAACTAAAATCTAACTTTTTGACAGTAGATCTCTTCCTTACTTAAAACCAAACACTTTAAGTTTTCATGTCAACAGAAATCCCTAATTGTCTTTGAAAATTACTAAAACCTTGACAGAAGTGTCTGACTTCCTGTTTTGACGTCAAGATTCCACATTTACAAAAATCCTTGATTAACTGAAAAAAACCCTGATATCTGTAGGTTGATCTAAACCTAAGCTGGGTTAGGATGACGCTTCATTTGCTGTCAAGATACATGGAGTGTTTAAAGAAACATAGTGCCTGAAACCCTTATTTTATAGTCCTTTTGGGATGAACACTGTTACCTGGGTAAGTGCAGTTCCAGCAACACTCAAGAAGCTTGACACCATGCTGGACACAGCAGCCCTCTTGATTGGCACTACATCCACCTGCTGTCTCCACCATCGACACTCAGTAGCAGCAGTGTGTACTATCTCCAAGATGCACTGCAGAAATTCACCAAAGATCCACAGACAGCATTTTCCAAACCCATGACCACTTCCATCTAGAAGGACAAGGGCAATAGATAGATGGGAACACCACTACCTGCAAGTTCCCTTCCAAGCCACTCCCCATCCTGACTTGGAAATATATGGCTGTTCCTTCACTGTCGCTGGGTCAAAATCCTGGAATTCCCTCCCTAATAGCATTGTGAGTCAACCAACAGCAAACGGGACACAGCGGTTCAAGAAGGCAGCTCACCACCACCTTCTCAAGGTCAGCTAGGAATGGGCAAGAAATGCTGGTCCAGCCAGCAATGCCCACTTACCATGAGTTGATAAAATAAATTAAAACAGGATCCGATTTTTCCTGGTTGTCTCAATGTGACTGCATGGATGTAGGATGTGTTGAACTGTTGATATCATATGGTAGAACTATAGAAAACTTGCAGCACAGAAAGAGGCCATTCAGCCAATCATGCCTGCACTGTCTGAGTAACTGAGCTACCCATTCTAATCTCACTTTTCTGCACCAGCACCATAGTCATGCAGGTCACAATGCTTCAGGTGCACATCCAGGTTCCTTTGAAATGAGTTGAGAGTTTTCACCTCAAGTACCAAACTGGGCAGTGAATTCCACAGACCTATCACCCTCTGGGTGAAAGAGCATTTCCTCATATCATCTTTCTATCAGTCACCTTAAATTTGTACCTCCTGTTAATTGACCTCTCTGTTAGGGGAAACAGGTCTTCTCTGTGCTCACTGTCCAAACCCCGCATTATTTCGTACATCTTGCTTAAGGTACCACTCAGTCTCCTCTGTGCTGAACAATTCTAGCCTATCCAATCTTTTTCCCATAGCTGCAATTTTCAAGACCTGGTAGCATTCTTGTAAATTCTCTCTTTATTCTCAAGTGAAATTTATGTCCTTCCTATAATCGGATGACCAGGAGTGTACACACAAAGTCCAGCAATGGCTTAACCAGTGTCTAATACAATTCGAGCATTGCATTTCTGCTTTTATATTCAATACCTTAAGCATCTCATATGCCTTATTTATGAACTTATCTACCCATTCTGCCAACTTCAGGGACCTGTGGACATGCACTCCAAGGTCTCTCAGTTCCTCTACTCTTCTCAATACCATTCTGTTAATAATGTGTTCTCTTGTTTTGTTTGCCGTTTCAAAAAGCACAGCAGTTATATTTATCAAAAATGAAAGACAGATTTCAAACGGGAGCCAAAATCCTGCTCCTGGATAAGAGATCTCCTCCTTGGAGTGAAACACCTTAGGTTTTAGTACCAGTAAATGTCCCTGTTTAACTGTCTTGACTTCAAGCTTCAACATTTACAAGGAAAAACCTGATTAATAGGACTGAAACTGACACCGTTAGATTAATCTGAAACCACCTTAGGGCAGGACCACACTTCAGGACCATTACTCTGGATGCTTGGAGTACTTAAAACAATATTAATACCTTTAGTTCCTTCAGAATTAACTCCAGTTGACACAACACCCCTCTTCCCCCTCAAAGTTATTGTTAAAATCAAATTTGTTAATATGGTAATGGTTAAATGGAATCTGTCAATGCATACATGGTCCATCTCACTTTAAGATAAGCTTTTAGTTATAAGTTTCAGTGCTAAGGACGTTGACAATGATAAGAATCCTGTAAATGCTTTTCCCAACCCATTCTTACAGTCTGTTCTGACAGTACTGCTTAAAATACAAACAGTTTTCAAGACTGTGGTATGAATTAATAAAAATATTGCCTTTACTCATGAATAATTACTCCATGTTCTTCAGTTACAGTATAACTGAGTTGCATGTTGTGTTGCTGATTGCTGTTCAATCCAGTTTGTCAGTGTTCTGGGATTGTTAAGTGAATTCATACAAAAACGGCTTCTTCAATCTGTAAACAGTCTTTAAAAATTAACTAAATCTTGAACTAAAATCTAAAACCCAAATTAAAACCCAGAATTAAATATAGAAAGGGTCGGTAAGATGGTGTTCGGGTTGAGGCTTGAGGACCTTAGCGTCACAAATACAACTGATCTAGTAGGCCTATAAACAGAGCTGAGCCTGCCAGACTGTTGACCTGACCAGTGCCTGCCTCTGTTGCTGCTGTGGGGCTACCTCCAGCAGTGGTGTGCTTCTGTCCAGTCCATGTATGCCTCCTCAATACAAACCTAGGGCAAAATCATGTAGTCAGGAAAATCCCTGACTCCTGATAACTACCTCTTTGACAAGAACCTAGCCCTGCATTATCCCTGCTGGAGCAGAGGTTGTCACCACTGAGATGTGACACATATCCTGTATCTGTGCCTGTGTCTGTCACCTTAAAGGAGACGTTGACACTTAGTGTTTTGTGGCTCATTCCAGGAATCATTTGGAGATCTTTGTAAGATCTCTCAGCCAACATAATGGAAGTCGAAGATTTGACTTTCCATTGTGCTGGGCAGAATATCAAGTTCACAATTGTTCGGGTCAGTCAGGCTGAAACAACAGCCTCAGGCAGCTATTCACTGTCCAGAAAGGGCTGTCAAGGCTCCCTCAGACGAGTGAGATGCCATTGTGAACAAGAAAAAAATTTCACTCCCTTAATCTTCAAGTCATCAGTGACCACTATATGTATCACATGCGAATGTGTGTGAAGGTTTACGAAGCTGCCATGCCACCTCTACATCCTTATATGGTCCTAATTGCCTTTGCTGTTTAGATGTGAAGGCCTTTGTGGCTGAATCGTTGGCATGGGTGAGGGAGGTAAGGGCTAAACTCTGAAGCTATGCCTTCTGACCCCTGTACCCAACCCCAGTGGACAGACAGAGGGCACATCCAACCACAGCCAGATGACTACAAGCACCATCGTTGAGCAGGCCATTGGCCTTTTGAAGAGAAGTTTTAATGTCTTGACAGATCTGGGTAAGCCCTGCAAATTATACTTGGAATGGTACACACTTTACTATCATCTACCATGAGCAGAAAGGATTAGCCATGGTGCCAGAGGACGAATCTGAGCAAGATGCCTCTTCAGTGGAGGAGATAGGCATAAAGTGCCTCAACTGATGCCAGTCAATGGAGATGATGCAGCGGACTGAACTCACGAGGGTCTTCTGTGCCCACTGAAGACATTCCCCCCATGAAATCAAAGAGCTCTTGCCCTCTGACCTCTCAACCTGGACATATCTAAAGTTCACAACTGTAAGAACGTCCTCTTCAGGTTTAGGCTGTAAACCCACCAGTTGTGCTGCCAGCCAATTGGATTAGTTCAGCAGCTCTCGAAGGAATTGGGGTGGAAAATTTGATTTCACAGAGCCAGTCACTGTTCCATGAAGCATTAAATAGCTATGCAGTGGAACGGCGGAGATGTGTTTCCTGTCCAGTCTCAGATGGCCAGCTGGAGAAAACACTGCCATTTGAAAATTCCCAACCCAGTTCTGTTCCCATGGCCAAGATTTTCCAGTGGCTTTAAAGGCCTAGACCAGCACCAACTGGTCAAGGGAATGGCAGAAGTAATTTGCATTACTCACCATAGCTTCCAAACCTACCTCTCCCCCAGAGATGGGCTGCCCTGTTGTGATCCATGCTGTTCAATGGTGTCACCTCTGAAATGAATGGTATTTCATCTTCCATGCACTGATTCTTTCTGGCATTCTGAGCACAGTTCCCCTGCTTGCACAAAACATATCTTTATTTAGCTGTCTTCAGCCCTTAATTGGCAACATTTTAATAAGATTGCCAGGGAACTCCCACAGCCCGATTGAACATACGCCACCCTCAATATTGGCCCCACATTACCAATGTGCCTGATGAGTAAAATTTTGGCAACATTTCAGGCCAATAACCTTTCATCAGAACTTAATTCAAATTGAGCAATTCAAGTTTTCTTTTGAATCATCTTCAGAATCTATTATTTTGTAGAGGTATCAATAATTTAAAGATCAACCCACAGTAAATGTAATAATTTCTCAATGGTTTAATTTGATAACTGTAACAGGCCATAATCAGATCTGACAAGCTTTAAAATCACTGTGACAGAAAAGAAAACCTGAGTGAAATTGTGTTTGGGTTATGCATTTTAATTGTGGAACTTTGTTTTTTACTCAGAAAATTAGATGCAAATGTTTTTCTGATCTTATTTAACTTAATATTGCAGCATGTTCTAAAAAAAACTTCCATTTTTCTCATAGAACCAAAAACTCCTGAGATAAAAGAGGTCAAATTTCTAGCAAATAATAAGATTGAACTTTCCTGTAATGAATTAAAACGCGATGAATATAATGGAAAAGATATACAATATTGCGCCACAATTCGTGATACAAACGGTAAAAGTGAAAGCACAGTAAAAAATAAAAAGTGTCACTTTGTCTTTGAAGACTTGAAATACCTGACAAAATTTGAACTAAAGGTAAAGTGAATTTATTTTGTTTTAAGTTCATTATGTTTATATCATATAGAGATCATACTTTTCCTGATGCTACTGTTGTATTTTCTATTACAGTTAGTTGCCGATAATTATCAATTTCAATCAAAGAGTGCAGTCTATACTATCACAACTAAATGTAAGTGGAATACTTTTTTAAAATCATATTTTGTCAACTCCATGTGCTGGGAAACGTTATGTTGCTTTCCCACCCAGTTATTTACTGCATTCAAATTGTATTCTAGAATGCAAAGAATTCTAATTCCTATTAGAACTGGCAAGCCAACAAGTCTTTTTGATAAACCAATGAATTCATTGTCAGCAATGCTGTGAGGTATTCCAGACCAATTTGGCTCAATGTTATCCGGTTATTGAATGTGCCACAGAGAATGTGTTGAGTTGCAAACCCCCACCTTCAGTCATGCTGTTGTCATTCTTTCTTCAATCAAGGGATGCATTGGCGTTTAGCCAACTGAGGAGATGACCAATTAGCAGGGGCTATGAACCCCTTCAGTTTGACACAGTGAACAGTCCAACGATTTCTGAAATATGAAAGCTTTTTGGCCCTAACCCTCCTGCTATCACAGACACACATTGAGTCATAGAGATATACAGCACAGAAACAGATCTTTTGTCCAACCAGATATCCTAAATTAATCTAGTCTCATTTGCCAGCATTTGGCCCATATTCCTCTAAACCCTTCCCATTCATATCCCCGTCCAGGTGTCTTTTAAATGTTGTAATTATACCAAACTCCACCATTTCCTCTGGCAGCTCATTCCATACAAGCACCACCCTTTATGTGAAAATGTTGCCCCTTAGGTCCCTTTTAAATCTTTCCCCTATCACCTTAAACCTATGCCCTTGAGTTTTGTACTCACCCATCCCAGGGAAAAGAGCCTGTCTATTTACCCTATCCATGCCTCTCATGATTTTATAAACCTCTATAAGGTCACCCCTCAGCCTCTGACACTCCAGGGAAAATTGCCCCAGTCCATTCAGCCTCTCCCAATAGCTCAAACCGTCCAAACCTGGCATCATCCTTGTAAATCTTTTCTAAACCCTTTCAAGTTTCACAACATCCTTCCTAAAGCAGGGAGACCAGAATTGCATGCTGTATTCCAGTGGTGGCCCTAACCAATGTCCTGTACAGCTGCAACATGGCATCCCAACTCCTATTCTCAATGCACTGACCAATAAAGGCAACCACCACACCTCCAATTTTGGTGTTATCTGCAAACTTACTAACCATACCTCCTATGTTCACATCCGAATCATTTATATAAATGACAAAGACTGTAGACCCAGCATCGATCCTTGTGGCACACCGCTGGTCAGAAGCCTCCAGTCTGTAAAGCAACCCTCCACCACCACCCTCTGTCTTCTACCTTCAAGCCAGTTCTTTATCCAAATAGCTAGTTCTCTCTCTATTTCATGTGATCTAAACTTGCTAATCGGTCTATCATGAGCAACCTTGTTGAATGCCTTGCTAAAGTCCATTTGATCATGTCCACTGCTCTGTTGTCATCAGTCCCCTTTGTTACTTCTTCAAAAAACTCAATTGAGTTCATTAGACACGATTTCCCATCCACAAAACTATGCTGACTATCCCTAATCAGTCTTGTGAAAGATTTTTTTTAGGTCTCTAGTTATGTATAATGCCCTAGATGATTCTATTTTCTGATACAACATTGGATAAACCATCACATAATCCCCTAAGGAATTAATGTAATTAGGAATTTCCTCTTCCAGGTGGCCAATTTGTTTACCATTGAGCATCTAATTAATTATCATGGCTCTATTTCTCCTACCCTAACTTAAGACTATTTTGGACATATCCCTTTAGAATGTGCAGAGAAACAAATGTAACAGGCATGAATCATACATGCTGAAAACCACATCCTGCACCTCAGCAGAAAATAATCACCCAACTAAGTTCTAAACCTATAGCTGTATACAATAGGCTGTTTAACCAACCCAACCACGAGGTAGTGGTTTTTTCCATTTGAGTTTTCACAACTGTGATAGGTCTGACATGTTTTATTTAAGCTGAAAGGACCTCTGCATCCAGCTTGTGTTGTGTGTCCACTTTAATCATGTCTTACCTGCACCCATTGTTTGGGACAAGTTGACTCTCCATGCTAGTGTGTACACTGCACTCCATCTCTCCTCCCAGATCTCTCCTGCACCCACCCCTGCCAAATAGAAAGGGGCACTTGGAGCCGTTGGATTTTTCCTGATGTCTTTAAGGTAGTAGAAGATGTGGGTTTGGCTGGTGTTGTCAAATAAGCCAGTAAGTTGTTACAGTGCATTTTGAAGATAGTGCATACTGCAGTCATGGTATGCCAGAGGCAGAGGGAACGGATGTTTGAGCCAGGTGCTCAGTATCATTATTACAATCATAGTCCAATGGCTTTCAGTTGTCTGCTTCTTCAACATGTTTAGACTTTTAAAAGTACATATAATGTGTAACTCCCAGATACCTGAACTAACCCACCGTCTACCATTATTGAACAGGTGGGAAAATTCTGGCCATTGGTTCTCCAAAATTTCACATTTCCTATGCTGATGTATTTATACTGAACATGTACATTTTTCTACATTGAACCATTCTTTGTGAGTAATTATTGAATGTCCTGTTCTAGATAATGATAAGGCATTAATTGGATTCCTGGTCTTCCTGATCATTGCAACCTCACTTGCTCTGGCTTTTGTGCTCTACAAGATATATATTTTGCAGAGAAAATCTTCAAGGTAGCTGTTTTATTCATTTTAAAATAGTTTAATCCACTCCTCCAGTGAGTAGGATGACTGTATCAACCAATAATATGTTTTCACAGAACAGGCATGCCAAAAAGTTATAGAAATATTGTATCAGAAAGCCCACTTCCTCTGAACTAGCTTTCAAACAACTGTCAGGTTCTGATAAGCTGTTTGGGAGGTTTTTGCAGAAGATTTACATTGCTTTAAAAATTGAATGCTACCCATCTTGCTCCATTTGTTGTACCAATCTGTTCTTCAACCAAGATCTGCAGACGAATTTCTTTTTTTCCCATACTTTTAACAATAATTACTGAGACATTGGTACAGAATGTGCACTTCACCTTCAAACAAAGGTCATGGCTAAGAGCCATCATGTGGGAATTGACTGAATAATTCTTTATTGACTGGCGCAGGTGCAATGAGCTGAATGGTTTTCTGTGCTGAAAATTTCCAGTGTTTCTAAAGTCGACTTTTCCCTCCAGCTCTGACGTGCAGCACTTTAATATCATGCAGTGCCTGACACTGCTGACATATCGTTCAACTGCTGGCACCAGTGATGGCCAGTTGGATGCCAAGCCCGATAGTTGACTTTGTAATGGGGAAAATATGTTAATTAATTATATTTTTAATCAGTTAATAATATGGAATAATCTTGTTTTTGCTCAATCTTAAATAGAAATTCTGAAGAGTTTGTGGAACTTATCGAACACGGTCAGTTACTTATCCTTTCCTTTAACTTTTCATTGGCTGTATCTTTAAATTCTCAGGAGAAAAAATAGTTCACATCTTTATCCATATCTGTCATTGTTTGCAGATGATGAAAAACAACTACTCAATGTGGAGCCCATTGCCGCTGAGCAACTGATTGACGAATACAAGAGAAAGAAGGCCGATGAATCAAGATTATTTTTAGCCGAATTCCAAGTAGGTACATCTGGTCAATTGTTGTAGACGTAAAACTGCAACTATTTAACTTTACATTTTTGAATTGATTGCCATTATGAAGACAACAGGGACTTAATTGTTCTTTTGAAAGGGAGGGGGACCAGTATGAGGAGAGACAACCATAATACAGCTAGCATTGTGCCCGAAATGGAGGTGAGAGGCTCAGAAGTTTAATGAAAAATATTTTAAATGAGCAAGAAAGTTAAAGGAAAGTGTAGTGATTGTGGCCGGCCAGACCTCATAGAATGTGAACAAAATCAAAATTGCTGGAAAAGATCTGCAGGTCTGGCAGCATCTGTGAAGAAAAAAATCAGAGTTAATGTTTTGGGTCCAGTGACCCTTCCTCAGAATGTAGAATGTGAGTTCCCTGATTGAGGCTGTTAATCTGGTCCAATTAGAGAACTTGGCTGACCTAAAAGAGAGAGTATTGGGAAATACTGACACTCTGGCACCTGACTCTGCCTGAGGCAGTACTATAGTCAAGGACCATTCACATATAAGTAAAGGGTGACTTGGTGAAACAATACCGGCCTCTGTGGAATTATTTCAGTGGCAACGAGAGTGGGATTCCCACAGTTAATATCTATTAGGACTTGTATAACATATGAGACTGCCATTTGGGGTGTTGCCAGCCTGTTCAATTTTTCAGTGGACAATGGAGAACATTTTGCAAGGTTTACGTCAGGTTGCCATTTACGTAGATGACATCCTGACATCAGGGAAAACTAATGAGGAACACTTTGAGAACTTGGACATGGTCCTAAGGCATTTTTCCAAGGCAGGCGTATGCCTAATAAGGGGAAAATGAGCGTTCTAGTGCCCTCCCCACCCCCCCAAACCTCTGTGACCTACATGGGCTACAGAATCAACAAGACCGGGTTCCATATGTTGGAAGTTAAAGTGAGGGCAAGCTAAGATGCCTCGGCTCCCACATCTGTCCAGGAGTTTACATCATGTCTTGGTATGATAAATTATCATGGCAGGTTTATACATAAGCCAGCATTCATTCTGGTACCATTGCATCAACTCCTAAAAAAGGGTCAGCCTTGGAAATGGGCTCATAAACAAGCCCCAGCTTTCAATGAAATAAAGAAACAGCTGCCAACCTTGAAGGTGTTGGCACACTATGAGCCCACAAAAGATCTGGTGTTGACATGTGATGACTCCCCATATGGTATCAGTGAGGTATTAGCTCATAGGTGGCCCAATGGAGAGGAACACCCAAACATTATGCTTTGCATTAGCCAGATATGCTCAGATAGAAAAAGAAGGATTGGAGGTCACATTTGGAGTCAAGAGGGTCCACCAAATCCTTTAGGGACAAAAATTTGTGATAATCATGGACCACAAATCCTGACTTGGTCTGCTTAATGATGACAAGGCATTGCTGCCCATTGCTTCAGGATGCATTCAGCGATGCATTCTAATACTAAGTGCTTCTAATTATAAGTTAGAACAGCATCCAGGAGGCCAAGTAGTGAATGCAGATACATTGTGCCAAGTCATATTAGCAGATGTACCACTAGTGATACCCACAATGGAAAAGTCTGCAATGAAATTAAATTTTATGGACACATACCAATCACAGCTAACAATACCAGACTTTGGATACAGAAGAATCCAGCCCTTTCCGAACTGAAACAATTAGAAACCAGAGGGCTATCACAACTGGAATTAAAGTGTTTTTGGACCTAGAGAGTCCAGCACACGATAGAGGACAGCATATTGTTATGGGGTGCAAGAGTGATTGTCCTGCGTAGAGGTTGCTGTCCAATACTGACCAAACTCCATCAGGGTCATCCAGTGGTTTCCAAAATGAACATGTTGGTAAGAAATTATGTCTTGTGGCCAGGCTTGGCTGCAGACATAGTATTGGTGAGGCAATACCCAATGTGTCAAAAAGGACTAAAATTGCCGCCAGAAGCTCCCCATGTTTGTAGGAATGGCCAGGTGAACCTTGGACTCTTGTTGTATTTCACCTATACAGGTCCTTTCATGGGTTCAATATTCTTAGTTATTATGTCTTAGTTCTTAAAGATGCTGGACATGCTTAGGGCCCATTTGTCAAAAACTGGAATGATAGTAGAATAACTGTGCGCATCTTGTGCAGCATACAGACTCCCAGGAGTGTTGGTCACAGATAACAGCATATGTTTACCAGCAAGGAATTTGGTTATTTCTTAAAGTTGAATTGGAATCTACATATAAGGACAGCTCCATACCACCCATTAGCCAATGGCCTGGCAGAAAGAGCAGTCCAAACTTTGAAGGCAGGATTGAGAAACAGCCTACAGCTAGATACCAAACTGTCATGGTTCTTTTTTGATTATAGGACCATCCCACATGCAAATATAGGGAGAGCACTGCTAGAATTGCTAATGGGTAAAGATCTCCACACTAGGTTAAGTCTGATCTTCCTGGACCTGCAGGTGAGGGTGAAACAGCAATCAGGGAACTTGTATTCTATGAGACCCAACTGGCTGACCTCGTTGCAATCACTACGTCCTTCCTCCTCTGAGTCCATGGTCATAAGCCAGTCCTTTATCTTTGAGGCAAACTCCTGTGCGTTACATGCCACCCAAGTCGGAGGAATCTGGCCTATGCTATAATGCCCCAGGAGGCTACAAAGAAAAATAACTTGCCTATGTCCTTAGACTCAGAAGGGGATGGATGTCATGATTGTAATGAGGTCAGCCAGGTAGACCTCATAGAATATGAGTTCCCTTATTGGGGCTGTTAATCTGGTCCATTCAGGGAGCCCTGGCTGACATAAGAGGGTTGAGTGTCAGGGATACTGACATTCTGGCACCTGACTCTGTGTGAGGCAGAACTATAATCAAGGACTGGTCAACAGGTAAATAAAGGGCAACTTGGTGAAGAGATACTGGCCTCTGTGGAGTTATTTCAGAAAGCCTGCATTTATATTGTTCCTTTAATAAGCTCAAGACGTTCCAAGCTCAAAACAAGAACCGGAGAGCTCTTTGAAGTTTAGTCACTGGCTACGTGCACGAAGAGAAATCTTTGCACATCATACAATTTGTTTTGGTGACATTGATTGATAGTTGAGTGTTGGCCAGAGCACAAGTGAGAGCTCTCTTCTTCAGCCTCAAGTAGTGCCAGGCAATCTTTTCTGAATACTTGAGAGGACAAGGACCTCTTTGAGCATTTGTTCCCTTGGTCTTATCGTCCAGCCTGAGCCCTCTCCTCCCAAGATCACAACCACAGACAGGGACTTGATGTCATTTTAGACAAACTATTTGATGTCTTCTCCATGCCTTAATATTGAAAAATAATAAATAGATTTTTTATATAATAAAAATGCCTACATTTTGGTTAATGTACTCCATCTGCCCACTCCTATGACACAAAAGCTGAGTAGGTTCGTTGAGAAAAAAAACTGGTAATCAGCTGAAAGTGAAAATTATTCCCAAAGTGAAATGATACCTATTTCAGTGATGGGATAAGTAATGTGGATATTTGAAATTAAAATTACAGAGCATTCCAAGGGTTTTCAGCAAATTTTCTGTCAAGGAGGCACGGCGGGGATGTAATACGAACAAAAACCGATATGTTGACATCCTGCCATGTGAGTATCAACGGAAGCCACTAACTAGTTGAAGATGTCTTGTTTTATTAATTCATGGGATGTGAGCATTACAGGCAAGGCCAGCATTTATTGTGCACCCTAGATGCCTTTCATCTAGAACCACTGCAGTCTGTTTGGTTTTGGTTGACCCTTAATGCCCTTTGGGAGGGAATTCCGGGATTTTGACCCAGTGACAGTGAGTGAACAGCAATATATTTACAAGCTGGGATAATGAATGGCTGAAGAGGATTTTTAGTTGCTGGTGTTCCCGTGTACCTCCTGCCTTTGTCCTTCACAATGGTTCTGGTCCTATGCTTGAAAGGTGCTCCCTAAGGAGCTCTGGTGAATTTCTGTTGTGCATCTTGAAGATGGTACATGCTCCAGCTATCAAGCATAGGTGCTGGAGTGAGTGAATTTTTGTGGATGAGATGCCAATCAAGTGAGCTGCTTTGTTATGAATCGTGCCAAACATCTAGAGTGTTATTAGAGCTGCACTCATCCAGGCAACTAGACGGTATTCCTAAATGGTCTACTGTTGTGTAAAGAAATTCTTCATAGAATATTCTACCTGTTGTTATTATTTCAGTACTTTGAGGAGAAATTTACAGAAATATATCTGATTAATGCAGTTTATAGACAGCAGTGCTTTTACTATAGTTTACTCCAGGTTAAACGTCATCCTTGCTCCCGTGAAGCAATCATGTTTTTAAAGCAAAGCATTCTTTTTGTGTTATGGCTTTTTTAAATCATCTGCTCGTGATGGATGCAGAAATGATCATTTCTTCAAGCATTTAACATGTTGCATAAAAATGATGAACTCTGCAATTTTGTGCTTTAGGTTTGGTAGGCCATGCAAATAGACCATGCCAGGAAAGACTCAGAAAAATTGTTCTTCACAGCTGCAGCAGTCAAATGGCCATTGAGATGAATCTACTACAGATTTTAGTCTTTTTTAAATGGCCAGGAGTCACATCTGTTGCTCCAGTGTGCTTCAAGTACTATCTCCTCTCTTATCATTATTCCTGTTGACATGGTAGTTTCCATGAAGCAAAATGATAGAGAATTATATACAAATGCCATTATAGAAAGAGGGCATTCCTTCAAACCAGCCTATGTTGTTACAATTCTAAGTGCCCACTTCTTTCCCATATCACTTCATATCCTTTTCTTTAAACTATCTTTCTAGCCTGCCCGTAACGACTAAAATAGTTTGCTTCAATAACCTGCTCCAAAAGTCTGTTCGCCAATTTCATCACCATTTTTATCAAAAATAATTTTCCTTTCTCTGTGGTTAATCTTCTGCCTATGTTTACCATCAACATGTAATGCAGTGAGATTGTTTTTATTATGCATTGAGCAGTGGGCCCTCAATCATTGGAAATCCCATTCCTTCATAATTTGAAACAATTTTATCACTTTGGGAATCAATCTGCCATAATTTCTCTTGTTCTAATGAAAACTCACCACAACTTTTCAAATTAACAACTATTTTCCTAACATGGTCATGTAAAAATTCATTTAACTATCCTCAGACCTTCTCCAGTGTTGCAAATGAGTAATAGATTGAAATAAGAAAACTTTGACTGTCTAAATTTATGGAATTCTTCAATTATAACTAATGAGGATTGAATTTTCCCAATAGATGATCACAACCGTGTTCAACTTTCGGCAGTGCCCGGAGAGCAAGGCTCAGATTATATCAACGCAAGCTTCATTGACGTGAGTATCAATGTTTAGAAGTGAAATATGAGTAATATTGCAAAATTTAACATTATAAACTCTAGCACAATAATGATAGAAATGAGAACTTTCAAATTCTTTTGAAAATAAGCTACACTGGGAGGATGTGTTGTTTGGTTTCATATATATAACTTGTAAAAGGGGTAATAACTTTGACCTCAACAAGTCTGCAAATTTAACCCTTCCCGGATCTTGACCCTACCTTACCTCAGGACCACTACAATATTAACACAGGCATGATCTTACTATTGTCTTTGACACTGGCTGTTGAGCATCACTCTCCCCATTATAACGATGCTGGTGGTTCTTACACTTCAACTTACAGGCAATGTGCATTAGAATGTGCCTTGTAACTGATCATTTTAATTTATCCTTTCCAAAAGTAATTAGTTATTCTAGCATATTTATAATTATTCACTGTCTTTCTCTATAGGGCTTCAATGAGTCCCGGAAGTATATTGCTGCCCAAGGTACATTTATTTCTATGTAGACAATACTGTTTTAGTTAGTGGTGTAACTGAATTATATGTTTAACCAAGGGAATCTTTGTTATATAAGTTAAAAGTAGAGGATCATAGGATGGTTTGCTCACAGTATATGCACAACTGTAGCAATGAGTGGCCAATCTGAGGACAACTGATCATATGGTTTCACCTTTAATGTGATCTTCCGGCCTGAAATATGCTGTTGTTGAGGGTTTGGACAGGAAGATTTTGTGTCTTGCTGCAGCAGTGTCATGGACTACTGTTGCTATTTTAATAAAAATAAGTCAAGCAATTACAAGGTACATTAAATTTCATCTTTGTTGGGACTGCAAAACAGGTTATAGTGGATTGTTTGCCACTTTCATCCCCAATCTCCACTTGACGTCAACCATGCAGTCATTGTAATCCCTTATCTACACTTTAAAAAGCCAACTTGATCTTTCTATAGCTGGTCTCCTCATGATAACGTTACTGCCTCAGTATATCCCTGCCATATTGTCATAGAGCTTGCTATCACAATGTATCCCACGTCTTTTGTACAGCCTGCCCCATTGTTACAGAACCTGCCTTGTTTATATGCTGCACGACCTTGCTAGAGAACCGTCCCCATCATTGTGAGCCTATCTTATTGTTATACCTCCACTCAATTATTATACAGCCTACCATATCACATATACACTACCCAATCAGTAAAGACCTTTACCCACCATTATAAAGTCTTCACAATCATTAAAATCCTAACCTTTGTTATCCACCTTGGGTGATTTTCTACACCATTGAATCCAATGCATAAAGGGCATCTGACTGACTACACTGGATGTTATGAGGTTAACTTCTCCTCCCAAGTGTCCGGAAAAATGTGATTGTCATGATGATTGGATTCCAAACATGAATGTAAATCACCAAATTTCTCATGGCACAAATTATCGAAGCAGACCAGGGTGTCCGGCTCAGAAATGTATTGTAGAGACATCTAAAACATATATAAAATATCTGGCAAGGTACCAAACTGCACAGAGTGACCAGCTAACCACTCCAACTCTAAATATGGTGGAATCAATGAGAAAGCTGTGGTCATGACACAGCAGAAGTAAGTATAGAGTCACCTCAATCCCTGACTGACAGGGGAAGTATAAATGAGAAGTAATGGAGGACGTTCCAGAAAACACATACACTGAGACTAAGGGGAAATGGTATGATAAGTAATAAAAATTATTACCGTAGTCACTTATGGGGAAGTATTTTGTTTGCATTTTAACAGAATATTGAATGATCATTTTGGTTGGAGCAAAATGAAGCGAGCCAACTTGTGGACATCCATGATGATTGAAGTGATTTAAAGAACAACATATATATATGGAGAAAGAAGCCAGCCATATCCTGGATTAAAATCTTTAAATAAATGTCTATTCATAAGACCATAAAATATAGGTGCACAGTTAGGTCATTCAGCCCAATAAGCCTGCTTCACCATTCAAGCATGATATTTTTCTCAACCCTAATTGTCTGCCTTCTCCCCATAACCTTTGATTCCCTTATTAATCAAGAACCCATCTATCTCTGTCTTAAAAACACTCGATGACTTAGTCTCCACAGCTCTCTGCAGTAATGAGCTCCACCCCTTAACATCATCTTTCTCATCTCGGCTCTGAAGGGTTGTCCCTTCATTCTGAGGCTGTGCCATCAGGTCCTAGTCTGTACTACTAGTGGAAACATTTTCTCTATGTCCACTCTGTCCAGACGTCTCAGTATTCTGTCAGTTTCAATGAAATTCCCCCCTCATCCTTCTAAACTCCATTAAGTACAGACCCAGAGATGTCAACTGTTCCTTATTTGACAAGCCCTTTATCTCCGGGATCGTTCTTGTAAATCTCCTCCGGATACCCTCCACGGTCAGTACATCTTTCCTTTGGGGCCCAAAACTGCTCACAATATTCCAAGTATGATCTGACCAGAGCCTTATACAGTCTCAGCAGTACATGTCTGCTCTTATATTCTAGTCCTTTTGAAATTAATGCTAACATTGCATTTGCATTCCTAACTGCCAATTGACCCTGCAGTTAACTTTAAGAGAATTCTGAACTAGGACTCCCAAGTTCCTTCGCGCATCAGACTTCTGAAGCCTTTCCTCATTTAGAAAATGGTCTATGCCTCTATTCTTCCCACCAAAATGCATCATCTCATACTTTCTACATTGTGTTCCATCTGCCACTTCTTTGCCCACTGTCCTCACCTATCCAAGTTCTTCTGCAGCCTCCCCACTTCCTCAACACTGCCTGTCCTTCCACCTCTCTTTGTGTTATCTACAAACTTAGCAACAATCCCCTCAGTTCCTTCACCCAGATCATTAATGTATAACGTGACTAGTTGTGGTCCTAACACTGACCCCCATGGAACTCTAATATCACTGGCTGCCATCCTCACTCTCTGCCTCTGTCAGTCAGCCAATCCTCAATCCATGTCAGTACCTTGCCTTGAACAATATTGGCTCATCTCTTATCTAGCAGCCTCCTTATGTAACATCTTGTCAAAGGCCTTCTGGAAATCTGAATAGATCATGTCCACTGTCTCTCCTTTGTCTAACTTGCTCATTATCTCTTCAGAGAATTCTAACCAGACACAGCAATTTTACCATTCACTTCCAAGTACTTTGCAATCTTATCCTTAATAATGGACTCTAAAATCTTACCAAGGACCAACGCCAGGCTAAGTAGCCTATAGTTTCCTGTCTTCTGCCTCCCTCCCTTAAACAGGGTGTTACATTAGCCATTTTCCAGTACTCTAGGACCTTCCCTGACTCCAATGATTCCTAACTGTTTCTACAATCTCCTCAGCTATCTCCTTTAGAACTCGGCATAATCCATCTGTCCACCTTCAGACACTTCCCCAGCACCTTCTCCTTAGTGATAGCCACTGCTCTCACCTCTTCCCCGACTCTCTTGAAGTTCTGGTATGCTATTGATGTTCTCCACCATGAAGACTGATGCAAAGTACCTATTCAGTTCCTCTGCCATTTCTTTGTTCCCTCTTACTTAGTCTCATTTTCCAGTGGCCCAATGTCCACTTTGCCCTTTTCTTACCTTTTATATATCTAAAACAACTCTTACAATCTTATTTTATATTACTAGCTAGCTTAACCTCAAATTTCATCTCCCACCACCCCCACCCTCCCCCACCCCCAACCCCAACTTATTGCTTTGTTAGTTATCCTCTGCTGGTTTTTAAACGCTTTCCAATCCTCTGCTTCCCACTAATCTTCACCACATTGTATTCTTTCTCTTGTGCCTTAATGCTGTCCCTGACATCTCTCGTCAGCCATGGTTGCCTTGTCCCTCTCTTGGTATTCCAACAATGAAAAACTTATTGTATATCCTATACCACCAATGCCTCCAGCTTTCTAACCCTTTGTTATAAGCAAACATGTAGTGTCATCAAGAGGTCTAGTTTTATCCGCTTCAAATAATGTCTCCCTGGCTTTCAGTGACAAAAATTCCCGTGAACTGAGGATTGCTTCGTTAGTCCACTTGCCTGTAAACAGTAACATTCTTTTCAGTCTGCTTGGTACAGTCAATGACTCTTTTTACATCTGTCTTGCTGCAGATTTTCCTTTCTTATTATCATTTATGCTTTCTCTTGTGTTTCATTGATGATCCTCCCTCATGCCTCCAACCAGTTTCTTGGTATCCCACCACCTTATTTTGTGGGTTTCCTGAATCTGCCTCTCTTCCCTGTCATGGCAGCAGTCAGGTGCTCCTACACTCGCAGATCACAGAAAAGAGCATTTGTTTTTAATTTCCAAAATGTTTACTCAGCAATCACTTCTGCTTTCTTCAGGCCCAAAGGAAGAAACGTCTGATGATTTCTGGAAAATGGTGTGGGAACAGAAAGCAACAATTATTGTCATGGTAACTCGCTGTGAGGAAGGGAAGCGGGTAAGTCTGATTCTGTCCAAAAAACCATTGGCTGTTTTAACCTTATGTGTCTATATCAGCGACCTGGCATGGAGCAGATCCTTCACTCATTTTCCATGCCTAATAGACTTGAGTATTCTCTTCAGTTATTCATAACAGCCTCCTGTTTTTAATTTGAATTAATCTATTATCATTCTCTTTCTACCCCTTGGTGTACAGCATCCTACCGATCTTCCTTCAATCACATTCTACTGAAGTTCTCATCCCTTAGAATATCATTAATGCTACCTTGTTCTATTCCTTGACCACTGATAACAAGTACCAGGCAATGATCATTCTTTTTCAGATTGTCATCTCCAAAATCTCACCTGTCAATATTCAGTTAGATATAGTTCTTAGGACTGAAAGGTTCATAGAGTGTGGGGGGAACAAGTACTGAGTTGAATAATCTGTCATGATCAGTTTGAATGGTGGAACAAGTTTGAAGGGCTGAATGGCCTACTCCAGCTCCTATTTTTATGTATTGGAGTTTCAGGGAGTTACCATTGAGTTTCTCTTCAGTCAACTGAACTGGAACAGCCAATTAAAATAATGTGTCCACAGGAGCAATCAGAGTCTGGGAGCTCTGAAGTGAGTAGCTCACTTGTCTCCCTAAATGCTATCCACCATCTGCAAAGTGTAAGTCAGCAGAGTGATGGAATATCTTCTACTTGTTCAACAGTACTCAAGACTCGACATATTCCTGGAAGAGGTTCCCATTTGCTTGATTAGAACTCCATCCAGCCACCTTTACGATCACTCCCACCACCTCCAACAACATTGTGTACTATAAACAAAATCACTACAGTAACCTATCAAACCTCTTCTCAACAGCACCTTCCAAAGCTACAATTTCTACCACCTAGAAGGACAAGGCAGATGACATATGGGATCACCAGCACCTTCAGGTTCTTCTACAAACCACATACCATCCTGGCCTTGAACTATATCAATGTTCCTTGACTGTTGCTGAATCAAAATCCCAAAATTCCTTTTCTAACAGCCCTATGGATATACCTCTACCGCATAGTCTGTAGTGGTTCCAGGCAGCGACTCACCACCACCTTCTGAAAGGCAGCTAAGGATGGGAAATAAATGCTGGGCTTGCCAGTGATGGCCACATCTCATGAAGGATTTTTTTTTTGTACAAACTTGATTTCTTTCAGATTGATTCCTACTGCAGAATCTCATTTCAAACCATTTTCATCTTTGGATTTCTGCTTTGCATAACACCCACTTTTCAGCCCTGCACAACATGATGCACTGAATAGTCTTGGATAATTCCTATCTTAGATCTGTAATTATTCCTACATTGGATAACTCTTTATGTTTGAAGAATGTATTTTGTCATTGTTACCCTAGTTTTGATTTCTATGTAACATTTGCCATCTTGTGACAAGATGTTTCCAAAGTACTGAATTTGTGATGCCTGTCCCAGCTTTTGATAATTTATGTTGACCTCTGCATCCTGAGCAGGTGCCTTATTTCTTTCAATCTTTGTAACATTTGTCATTTTTTAAAAAGTTACATTTTGGAAGCTCTTACTATTCCAGTCATTCCGTTCATTGGTATCTGTAGATTTTCTGCTGTTTGACTTGGTTGTGTGCAAATTCCATTTCTTCACCAATTGACTTCTTTTGACACCTTCCTGAGGTTCATCCAGTGCAGCTCTTATCATGGCTCCTGCATTGATATTAAGGAGCGACAGTGATAATAGAGAACTTTGTCTCACCCAATGCCCAAATCCAGTTTCACCGACTGCTTGGAATGTCTGATTGCAAAATTCTGGTCATGAACAAGCTACACTGTTACCTCTGGTCAACTCTGATCACCTTTTAACAGTATTTGCCAATTCACCTAATCAGAAGCCTTCTCACAATCCACAAACCCGCACAATTTTATGCTGGTATTCTAAGCTTCTTTCACTTAACACTCTCTAATTGCATACACCATTCTTTAACGCACTCAAAGCTTTAATGGCTTTAGAACCGATACCATATAATGTCTGAAGCCAATGTACAGTAAAGGTTGTTTACAATAAAACTTCTGAACCAATATTGATATGGAAGAGGCAGTACTAACTGACTTATCTCTGAGGATTATATTCTGCTCCCCCTTTACAGCTTATTTGATTATTCTCTTAGTTTTGTTTTCAATCGCAAAATTTTGATTTGGCAATTATATTCTGGTTCCAGGCAAAAGGAGCATTGATATTATTGAGAAGGTGGTAATGAAATGCAGCAGCAAGAAAATAATGCATTCGTCATGCTAAGGATATTTAAAGAACAAATTTGTTATTTGTACAATGTGCAAGTTACTATTCAGAATGTGATATCTCCAATTCTACCAATAATCCTGTGTGTCAAAATATGATGCTGGATATTCTTGTGCTATGTTTTTTATTTTTTTGATGATAGTCAGATGCCTCTGAATGTTCCATGGTTCACAGTCAAGACATTCAGAAAGTGACTCACTTATAGGTCTCTGGCAGTGCCAATAATGATGATCTTATTCTGCTCACTGAATGTGTGGGGGATGCTTACATACCAATTCTCCCACCTTGTGTATTAACAATGCATGGTCTCCAATCTGCATTACCCCATGACATCAAGTCATGAGGTTGGGCATTCAGTGTAAACATGTCGTTTTTATTTGGAATTCTTGACTGTTAATTTAATGAGTTGAAATTGTTTCTTGTATGACTGGGTTTCTGTGGGGGGAAAAAAATAGACTTCAGAGGACAGTTAAAAAGCACCTTATCTTTTTCAGCCCAAATGTACTCAGTATTGGCCTAACATGGATGATGAGATCAAGACCTTCCGTGACCTCACCGTAAGAATTAGTGAGGAGAAGTGGTGCCCAGACTATGTAATTCGCAAACTCTTCATTTCACATGTGAGTTGGAATACTCTTTCAACTGGGTTCTACTGCGGGTCGTGATTGCTTTCTCTGACAGAGCATGAATTGACATTTTGCTGTGTTTCTTCAAATAGAAAGAAAAATCGCCCGAGCGGGAAGTAACACACATTCAGTTCATTAGGTGGCCAGATCATGGTGTTCCAGAAGATCCACACCTCCTTCTTAAATTGCGTCAGAGAGTGAATGCATTCAGAAACCTATTCAGTGGTCCAATTGTTGTGCACTGCAGGTAATGAGGATTTCTAAAATGGACCATTCTACAATAGTCCAAAAGTGCATTTTTTCAAAAACTGAAAGAACTGTGAATGCTGTAAATCAAAAACAAAAGGAGGACTTGCTAGAAGAACTCAGCAGGTCTAGCAGCACCTGTGGAGAGAAATTAGAGTTAACGTTTCAGGTCGAGTGACCCTTCCTCAGAACTGAGTAAGAACTTCCTCAGTTCTGAGGAAGGGATACTCAACCTGAAACATTAACTCTGAGTTCTCTTCACAGATGCTGCTAGACCTGCTGAGTATTGCCAGCAACTTCTGTTTTTGTTTCTGCTTTTTTAAAAAAGAGTTAGCATTGCAGAGGCACTTCATCTAGGCAAAGAGATGTCCTTTGAAGAAGCAAGCTGATAAAAAATGGTCTCACACTGTGGCTTACTTTAACAAAACACCTTGCAAATAAATGTTGTGGGTGGTTTGAGTATGCAAGGGTAATATTTCCCTTTTAAATGTAACCAGTTGTGAAGAGCAACAATGTTGGTTTTCATCATACCTTTCTGTTAACATATTCCATAAAAAGACAAATGCTCATGTAAGCTTCTTGCCCTAAAACTGCACTGTCAACCACTTATGGGGCAGTTATCCCTTTAACGTGGATTGGTGCGAGGGCCTGTTGGATTTTCCAACAATCCTCCATGTGGTGAGCTGCTGCCTAGGGGTGATTCAGTGGGCACAGCTCGGTGACATTACCAAAATGATTCCTGCCATCACCAGCCAATATCCTCTTAAAGCATCGTCTTTGTATTTAATGGTATGGACAATGATCTTTCATATCCCATTATTTCTTTAAGCTCCTGACTGCTTGCTATGAAAAGTAAATAAAATAAGTCCCATATAAAAATAAATATATCTGATCAGGTCATCTTTAACAGGACGTAAATTGTATAAATCTGACACTTGATGCGTGCTGAGTTTTGTTGAAATTGCCCAGGAGTTGGGCAATGCTAATGCAGGATTTGGTAATCTTAGGAAACACTCGATTGATATTTTTCTTGAACCCCTGCTTAAATTGTGTGGAATGTAGACCCATTATTTTAGGAGAGAAGCAAAATACTGCAGATGCTGGAAGTTCTGAAGTAAGAGCAGAAAATGCTCTGAGTATTAAGAAGCTCAGGGGGCTATCTGTGAAGAAAAAGAAATGAATATGTTTTTTGCTATTATTCAATTTCTTTAGAAATAGTTCTTCATTCTGTATGGTAACCTGATTGCTGTACTATTTCACAGTGCTGGGGTGGGTCGCACAGGTAGCTACATTGGAATTGATGCCATGATGCAAGGCCTGGAGACTGAAGGGCGAGTGGATATCTATGGTTACATTGTTCAACTTCGTCGACAACGCTGCCTTATGGTGCAGGTTGAGGTAGGCTTACTTTTCAAACAAGACCCTTCCTGGTACACAAGTCAACTCAGCTTCCAGTGACTTCACTGGTCACTGACACTGATATGTCATTGCCCAAACGTGGAGGAGGGAGAAAGGAAAGGTGGGGGTGAATTATTATAATCAAACTTCGATCCTGTCCTTCCCAAAGGCCTGCTCATGTAGGCTTCCAGCAGCGGTCACACAAAGCAAGTGGAATTGGAAACATTCTGTGAGACACAGTAGCTCCTGCCCAATCACTGTCAGAGGCCACAAACATCATTAAGAAGCTGATCTAAGTGTTATGAGGTGCCACATTAATTGGTGAGTTATTGGCATTAATAGTGATTGTAGACTCCTGATTGGTTGGTCAGAGGAATCTGATAGGTAGCAACGTGCTTCAAGGAAATGTCCACCTATAATCCTGACAATAAACTTCCATACATAGATACACACAAATTAGGAGCAGGGGAAAGCCACATGGCTTCTCGAGCCTACTCTGCCACTCATAAGATCATGGCTGATCTGATTACTCCACATTCATGCCCAATCCTGATAATTTTTCACTCCCTTGCTTATCAAGAAACTATTTAATTCTGCCTTAGTAATATTCAAAGCTTCTGCTTGCATTGCCTTTTGGAGAAAGGTGTTCCAAAGACTTGCAAAACAATTCGGGGCCCTCTGTGAGAAAATATTTCATCTTATTTCAGTGTTAAATGGGAGATCCATTATTTAGGAACAGTGACGCTAAGCACTAGTTTCTTCCACAAGAAGAAACATACATTCCACATGAGACTTGCCAGGGCCCCTAAGGATCCTCTATGTTTCTATCACTTTGGTTCCTACTGTTACATATCCCAGCAGAGACACTGTTCCCCCCTTTCCTTATGAGACAACCTGCTCATTCCTGGTATTAATCTGGTAAAGCTTCTTTAAATTTCTTGCAATATATCTAAATCCTTCCTTAAATAAGCAAACCAGCACAGTTCACAGTACTGCAGATGTGGTTTCACAAATACCCTGTCTAACTGAAGCTAGTCTCCATACTTTTGTATTCAATTATCCTTGCAAAAGAAACATTTCCTAACTCCTTGCTGTGTCAGCACACTAAAGCTTTGTGAGTCATACACCAGAATACTCCGAATTCTCTGCATCTCTAAACTCCACAATCTCACCACATATATAATGTGCTTATTCTTTTATTCTTGCAGTCAAAATGGGTACCTTTACATTTTTGCACATTATTCTCCAAATTGCCATATATTTGTCCATTCACTTAACCCCTCATTATCGCTTTGTAGACTCCTTCCATCCATTTCACAACTTTCTATCTGTCTTTGTGTCATCATCAAAATTAATGACAATATATTCGGTCCCCTCATACAAGTCGTTTACTTGAATTGTAAAATTTGAGGCCCCAGCACGTCTCTGTGGCTCACTACACCCTGCCAACAAGAGAATGACAGGTTTATGCCTATTTTTGCTCTCCTGTTAGCTGGCCAATCTTCTCTCCATGCCAGTATGTTAAACCTGACACCGTGAACTTTTATTTTCCACAAGAACCTTTTTCATGGCACCATATCAGATGGAGACTTAAGTACATGCATCAATTCCCCTTAATTCACGGCACAAGTTACTTCCTCAAAGACCTCCAGTTAATTGGTTAAATGTGATTTCCCTTTTGCCAAACCATGTTAACTCCACCTTGAACTTTTCTAAGTACCCTACTATAACTTCTTTTATAGCAGTTTCTAACATTTTATTAATGTCTGAACTTGTGTTGAAACCAATGACTTTTTTGCACTACCCTAGGCATACTTAGGATCTGTGTTGCCACTGATTTGTGTACAATCAGTGGTGTTAACTGAAACGCCACCCACTGTGTACTGGCCCAGCACATTTATTTAGAGGCATTATAGGTTATAGAGAGAACTTCTAACCCTCTCTGTTTACAATGGAAATAAACTCAGGTCCAAGATCAATTCACTGTATCTTCCTTATCTCACTGACAGGTTTGGTTATTGGTTTGATTTCATGAATGTGTCTTTTCTTTCCATGTTTTTCCCTTTATCTTAATGCATATCTGTGAGAGTGAGAGATCAACCAGCAATGTCTGTTTCCACTATCACTGTTCAAATGACCCTTCTGTGTTTAGCTGGAATGACTGCTAAAATGAAAGTTAAACTAGAATACCTGGTAATTTCCTTTTCATGCGCTCAATCATTGCTCAACCAGCTTGCACCACATCCTCTGCATGATGACACACCAGTTTCTCACCGATCCAGGAGATGAAGGTTAGAATCTATCAGCAGTAGATGGAGCTCGGCTTTTGAATTTCTGAGTCTGCAAGATTGCTCATAAATTAGTCGAAGAACCCTGTTATCTGAAATGACCTAAACCTTAATAAGCCGATATTAAAAATGTTAATTTTGATTACGTTGACAAACTTAATTGCATCGTTCAACTTTGGTGAGCTTCCCTGATGTATTAGTGACTTAACAAATATATTTGTTTTTTGTAGGCACAGTACATTCTGATCCACCAAGCTTTGCTGGAGTACTACCTCTACGGTGAAACTGAGATCAGCCTGCCCGAACTACCCAAGCACCTCAATAACTTTAAAAAGCATGACCCACCAACTGACCCATCCCTATTGGAAACTGAATTCCAGGTCAGTTGATTTATCCAGAGAAATTAATTATGAGAGTTCGTATAAATGACACGAGTCAGATGGTAGTAAAGGTAGTGCAAAAAGTCACTGATGTATTGTTTATTTCACTTACCTTCAGGCCAACACTTTATCAAAGATTAGAAGACAAAAAGACATGGCCATTAATACCAAATGTACTTCTGACTGCAAAATAACTTCTAGAAAAGCAGAGTACTGCAGTTGCAGCAATTCTGAAACAAACTGGAAAACTCTGGAAGTACTTAGGACTATTAGAAATAACAATACAGATTTATCAAAGATCGTAAAACAAAATAGTAAAATACTCTACCGGCACATCATTAAACAAATGAAGGCTGTGCTGGGAAAAGAAACAATAAGAGATATATAAAACGACAAGGAATGACAGAGTAAAAACTGAAAGAACCACGGATGCTGTAAATCAGGAATAAAAACAGAACTTGCTGGAAAAGCTCAGCAGGTCTGGCAGCATCTGTAAAGGAAAAAACAGAGTTAGCGTTTCGGGTTCGCTGACCTTTGGTTCTGAGGAAGGGTCGCCAGACCTGAAACGTTAACTCTGATTTTCTTTTCACAGATACTGCCAGACCTGCTGAGCTTTTCCAGCAACTCTGTTTTTGTTGTTGAGGAATGACAGAGTATGTTCAAGACAGAGAGATAGAAAAGGTAGACATAATAATGGATAATAAGCAAGGAAATAAAATGCATTTAAAGTGAAAAAGGATGACATGTTGAACAGACCAAACAAACTCAAAGAAGGTAAAGCTGCCAAACCTGGATACATGGTATCTCTGCATTGTAGAAGATACATGCATAAATTTGAGAAGAAATAAGAGAGAAATCCTAACTACAATGAGTAAATAATTTATTTCCAAGCAATGACTTGCAGTATCCCAAATGTTTCAGAAGAGTACAAATATTAACTTTTTAACTACATCAATATTCTTCAATAACCTGTAAATATTGTGTTTTTTAAAAAAAATTCTGTGTCTGAATCTTGCAGAGGATCCCACCTTATACAGATTGGAGACCACAGAGCACTGGAAGACGGGCAGAAAATCAAAGTAAAAATAGATCTCCTTCAGTGATCCCATGTAAGTCTTATGTTTACTCTGTAGAATTGATTGCTCGCATAAGATACCAATCCTGAAATGGTATTTATATGTAATTTATAAATTTGTTATTTTACAGATGACTACAACAGAGTAACTATCAGACTAGAAGAAGAGACAAGCAGAGATGAAGACAATCACAGTGACTCAGATGTTTCCTCTGATGAGAGTGAAGATGAAGAATCCACCAAGTATATCAATGCTTCATTCATTGATGTATGTATCTGTACAAAGTGTTAATGCTTCTCTGAATTGACATCATCTAAGGACTTTCTAACTGAGACAAGTGAATGCTCAAGAGGGGTAAAAGAATCAGGTTGAAGAGCAGGAAAGTTCAATGCAGGAATTGACTATTTGCATGAAGAGAGCATGGAGTTAAGGTTAAAGCCAGAGTTAGCAAGGCTAAGTAATTTGAAGACAATCTTGGAGCATTGTTATTTCCAGTTGTTCCAAAGACAGGTGGGATAAATGGGTTAACAATAGTCCAGAGGCAGATCATTGGAAGAGATGTCCAAAGCTGGTTCCTCAAATAGGGAAGGTGAAAACAATGAGGAGATCTAAAAATGCCTTTGACCGAGAGACAAACCTCAGATGTAATAATAGATTTCAGAAGAAACTTGGGTAGACATTTGATGTGAAACATTGTCACAGCTCTGGGGAAAGACTAAAAGATTGGGAGTAATTGGATAGCTGTTTCAAAGAGCAAATGCAAGCACAATAGGTTGAATAGCCTCTTTCTGTGCTTTATTAATCTATGACTATTATTAATATTACCATAAATGCTCACATTTCTACCTCATTATATTGCTCGGTATAATCATGATTCATTTTACACTCTGTTTACAGAGATATGCTTCTAGAGATATTGTCAGTCTTTGACTCAATGTTTCATAAAGAAAATCACGTGCTGAATTTTAGCCATTACTTCCTTCACACTGATGAACAAAAATCAAAATTGCTCCCAGCTACTCCTTACTGTTCCATGCCCCAGGGCATTGATTGTCCTTCACTTTGCAGGTCAAGAATGATGTATCCCTCCGTCAGCATGCTTGAATGAGAAGTTAGCACTGTTGACATCAGCTGTGTGTACTCGCATCATACTGGAACAGGAAGTAGTACACCCTTTGGTGCTGCTTCTCCCTCGGCCCTTCGTCCTCCGATCCCCTCGCTGTCTGCTCACCATCCTCCTCAACCCCCCATCCATTACCCCATTTCAACAATGGTAGAGAATCCATGCATGTTGATTGGTTTGTCAGTAATTTAACAGTTTTATATTTGTCAGTGTTGATCCAATCAAAATTGAATCACAAAGCACAGTTTTTCTTTGGTTCAAAAAGGCACAGCATGTATGTGCGGTCAGTGCACCCCCTTGGGCAGCAAATGCAACCAGGCAATATTTCTTGCAATAGCTTTGCAAAATCAGAAATGACCAATCACAACAGCATTCAATTCCTATGTACACCATAGGAGCTGACGTGGCACAGGCTGAGGAAGGTTATGGGAAGGAAATGTTTGAATGTGAATGAAGATGTGAATTTTGACCTTAGCATGCCAATGTTTAGGATCAGGAATCAGGATCAGCACAAACATGGTCGGAGAGTGGAAAAGATAGCTAGGTTAAACCAAAGGAAGGATAGGATGCCAGTGCCCCCTTGGTGAGGAGATGGAGTGGGGGTAAGAGTGCCAGCTTGAAATGAGGGAGGAGGGTGAGTAAACCTGGGAAAGGAAAGAGCAGCAGAGGCAAATTGAGAATTAAGAAATTAAGAAATTTGTGGCACGATGAGGAAGTGTCAGTTTTAGAGGTTAGGAAAGATATGAAAAAAGCCAACATGACCTATTGGAAAATAGTACCACTGCTAATTGGAGGAAGGAAGAGACAAGATCACTTGTTCTATGAATGAAGGGAATGGTCACAGCCAGAGGAGAGAATCCTCCATTTTCTTTTAATTCATTCATGGGATGTGGGTGTTATTGGCTGGACCAGCATTTATTGCCTTTGAGGTGATGATGAGCTACCTTGTTAACAACTGTAGTCTATTTGGTGTAGGTAGACCTTCAGGGAGGAGTTGTAAGTTTTTGACCCTGTGACACTATATGTGGCTTTCTGGGGAGCTTGCAGGTGGTGGTGTTCCCATCTGTCAGCTGTTCTTGCCCTTTGAAATGGAAGCTTCGGTGAATTTCTACAGTGCATCTTGTAGGTGGTACACACTGCTGCTAATGAGCATCAGTGGTGGAGGCAGTGAATATAGTGCCACATGTCCTGGTGTTGAATGACTTGAGTGTTGTGGACGCATCCAGGCAAATGGGGAGTAATCCATGAAACTCCTGGCTTGTGCCATGTAGCTGGTGGATAAGCTCTGGGGAGTCGGGAGATGCAGTATACCAAACTTCTGACCTGCTGCAGTAACCACAGCCCTTATGTGACGAGCCCAATTCAATTTCTAGTCAATGGAAACCCCGAGGATATTGATAGTGGGCGATTCAGTAATGGTACTGCCATTGAATACCAAAGGGTAATGGTTAGATTCTCTCATGTTAGAGCTGATCAGAACCTGGCACTTGTGTGGTATGAATGTTACTTGCCACTTGTCAGCCCAATCCTGGATTATGTCCAGACCCCGCAGGTCTAATGTTTCCATGCCAGTCACATAGAAAATTTATCCCTCGCCGAATAACAATTTTTGCTGTCACCTCCCATCGTACATTTTGAACTTTTGGTTTACATAATGACAAATCCATGCCCTCAGCCTAATTCTACACTGTTAACCTGTATTTGGATATTGTTAACCTATATTTGGATATGTTTTTGAGATGTCAGCTTTTTAAACATGCATTTGCTCTTCTAAAGCTGTCAGTAAACTATTGCCCGCTCAGAGATAGCAAGAACTGCAGATGCTGAAGTCAGAGACAACACAGTATGGAGCTGGAGTGTGTTGTTAGTAAACTATTGCCTGTTTGTTTTGTTCTCCTGGTGTGTGTATGTGAATACTTAAACTCCTGTTTTTTTTCTGTGATGAACAATTCAAGTAGAACTGAAGTCTAGTCTGTGAGAACTCCATTCATTCAGAAACTAATCCATTTGAATAGTCCAAGAAACAATGTTGACAACTTTGGTTATAGGACAGTAGAAGGAATTCAAATACATCTAAACACAAAAAAGGGCAGATTATCTGTGGAGAGAAAGCAGAGTTAACCTTTTGGGTCCATTGACCCTTCTTCAGAACTGATTGCCACTACCAAAAGGCTGGTATATATGTAAACATAGGGGGGAAAGAGCCCAGAGAGAGAGAACAACAGTTCGGCAGACAATGGATTGGTTAAAGGTGAGCCTGGGAAAATCACTAGCTGCTAATGGGAACCATTAGTGGCTGACAATGGGTTGGTTGTGGTGGCAGCCTGTGGTGACGACTATTGAACTCTATATTGAGTCCTGAAGGCTGCAGCGTTCCAAAGCGGAAAATGAGCTGCTGTTCTTCCAGCTTGGTGGAGCGCTGCAGCAAGCCTGAGACAAAGATATTGGCCAGGAAGTGGCTGTAGGGGTGTTGGGAGATGTTCAGAGTAGAGGAGGAGTGGACCAGGATGTCCCAGAGGGAACAGTTCCTGTGAAAAGCTGGCAAGGGAGGGGAGGGGAATATATATCCAGTGGTGGTATTCTGATGGAGGTTGCAGAAATGGTAGCTGATGATCCTATGGACATGGATGCTGGTGGGATGGTAGGTGAGGACAGGGCAGACTGTATCACTGTTTTGGGAGGGATGAGTGAGAGTGAAGGCTGAAGTGTGGAAGATGGGTCAGACCTGTCTGAAGGCCCTGTCAACTGGTGGTGGGGAGTCCTCGGTTGATGAAGATGGGTATTTTGAAGGCCCCTTTGTGGAAGTTGGTATCATCAGAACAGATACGACAGAGATGGAAGAACTGAGAGAATGGAATAGAGTCTTGATAGGAAGCAGGGTGTGAGGATGGATAATCAAGGTAACTGTGGGAGTTGGTGGGAGTTGGTGGGATTGTAGTGGATATTGGTGGCCAGCCTATCCGTAGAAATGGAAGCAGAGATGTAGAGGAAGGGAGGAGTCAAAGATGAGCCAAGTGAAGGTGAGAATGGGATGGAAATGGAAGCAAAACCGATTAATTTTTCCAATTCTGGTTAAGAGGGAAGCAGCACCAATGATGTCATTGATATACCAGAGAAACCCTGCAAAGAAACAGTCATAACTGGGGCCCATGCAGATACCCATGGCCACATCTTTGAGCTGAAGAAAGTGAGATTAATCTAATTAATATGAATTTGCAGTAAACCAAAACAGAAGTTTGAAAATCTAGAAGGTTGTGAAAAGCTGTCTTAGAGTTTTGATGTGCTCTGCCGATTATTATTCAAATGTCATCTGCTTTCTCCATCCTGCCTATCAGGGATATTGGCATTCTGAAACATTAATTGCCACTCAGTCTCCACTACCTGAAACCATTGGTGACTTTTGGTTGATGGTGTATCAAAGAAAGGCGAAGATCATCGCAATGCTGGGCAAAATAAAAGATGACAAGGTAGGAGCCTGTGCGTTTTCATGACGTTTTAAAATCCTAGCAGCATAAACCTGCAAATGTGCTTCATCAGTATCATCCTACACTCCAGATGATGCATTCTATTGATAAATATTACTGATCAAAATGAGTGATAATAAGAATATAACTGATTGGTCAGGATGCAAGTTCTTAAAGCCAAAATTTGTCTAGAAATTTTGTATGAATGAACACACCATTCAGTAAAAGACAATACAAATTCTAAAATATTCCAGGAATGAGCAAAATCTATGACAGGAAAAATTGGTTATTCTAACGTTCCTCGGCATACTGTCGTGCATGGCAGGTCTAGCTTTTGTTTTTGCATAAATCAGAGAAATGAATCTTCCTGAACCCAATTAGACTGCTGTCTGCAAATTAAGTGTTAAAGTTTCTAACTTCCTGCCAACAATGAGGGAACGGGGAGTGGGATTTTCTGACCCTGTGCCTGTAATAATCTGAGGTGTGCTGAGTTTAGAGGAGGTTCCTCAATGCCCAGCACTATTCAGAGCTCACACTGCTGCATGTTCTACGCACGCTCCAAGAGCACTAATGGACTACTACTGCCTGGTGCATCAATGGAACCCACAGGAATGCTTGATATTGGTGCATTGGCCCCTTTAAAACAAGTGGTCATTTCAAAGAATCTTCAGATGTTTGGTCCACATTCTCAGTCTAGACTCACTTGAAAGTAGTTCCAACAACAGAATGACTGGTTTATCTGAACCCACCACACATACCTAGGTCCAAAATATACAGAATCCCCAAGAAGGCAAAGATGGACATCTTCCTTATGTCAGTGGTTTTGCAAAGATCCATTGCAGCAACAGCCACCTGGGAATTTCAATACCAGGCTGGAAGTCAATGTAACCTGTACTACGTCTAGTTTCCTACTCGCGGATTTGTTTAGCGATTTCCAGAAAGGTCATGAATATTATGGGAAGCATTTCATGTAATATTTTCACTAGGCATGGCAGAATTGTGTCTTTTTGTTAAATATAAGCTTGAATTTCCTGCAGAAACTATAAATTGAACTCCCAGAAATAATCATACTATATTGCAATGATGAAGATATTCAATGCAACAGGCTGTGTGTAAAGTCACTGCTGAGAACTATACCATCCACACTGGTATTAGTATAATTTTCTTTCATTGCTCTTAAGGATGTCAGTGTTTTAATAATTTCAAACTTAACTTTTTTTTTTAGGATTGTTCACAATATTGGGAAGATGGGACAAAAACCTATGATGACGTTGAAGTGAAGTTAAGTGAAAGTACTAAGGAATCAGCATATACAATGCACGTCTTTGAGATAAGACATACAAAGGTAAGATTTTGCAATAATATTCTAAGGTACAAGAGGCTAATTTGTCTGTACATATGCAGAACTTTCCTGTGCTCTAAATTGGACAAGCAATAAGTTTAATTGTGTTGGAATGTTGCAAACTGCTTGCACAGATCTCCTTGTAGTCCAACATGCAGTCATTTAGTTACAGTCTTTAATGCAACATTTTAAAAATCTGCTCATGGGATGTGGGCATTGTAGGCTAGGCCAATGTTTGTTGCCCATCCCTAAATGCCCAGAGGACAGCTAATGCTGCAGGTCTTGAGTCACATGTCATTGAGACTTGTTACAGACAGCAGATTTCCTTCCCTGAACCAGGAGGTTTTTGTTTCAATGACAATTAGTAGTGGTTACATGGTCACTGTTAGGTGAACGTTTCAAACAGATGTACAAATGTAACATGCTGGTCTGATCTATCTCACCCGTTTTGAAATGAATTCAAGAATTAAGTAGCATCTAGAGAGAGGGTAGTTTACCATCTCTTATCAAAAAGTGCTGTATCATCATAAGGATAGATTGTTACTGTTAAAAACATCAACTTTAAGTGGTCTTTTGAAACAAAAGCAAAAATGGGTCTTGCAAATTGCTACATTCCACATGTATGGAGAAAAGGTGTGAAAGCAAATAAGTGTTTGTCAGGGGATAATGAGGTACATATATCAATTTGATAAACAGATCAGGAAATTAACATCTATCTACCTCTCCATGACTCAGAGCGTCCAATTAGTATCACAACAGATTGCTCTCATGGTAATCATACTGAAAAATGTCCACTTACTTTTCTGTGTTTGTTGAGGCCAGAATTCAACTCTGGCCCCAAAGGCAAGCCCCCTTGTTGCCAGAGAACCTTAAAGTGTTCCTTAAGGTTAGCAGCAGATATCCTAGAAATTAACACAGAAAGGTAAGTTTGGCAAGTGGATCAAGTGGCAGGGTGGACAGAATGTAGGATGGTAAGGTGGTGGAGTGTGTAGGGTGGCAGTTAAGTGGATGAGGACTTAGAGTAGGTTGGGGGAGTTGGTTCAGGCGGTTGTTGGGGGCTACTGGGACAGGTCAAGGTTGGCTTGTGGAGACAGGTTGTCTTGGGTCAGAGGTATGGAGGTAGTTGAGGAGTTGGGTCCTAGGTTGTCTGAGGTGAGTCAGGGGTTGGGTTGGCTGACTTTGGAGTGGGGGATGGTTTTGGAGTGGGATGCTGACTCATGGACAGGAGAGTGTGAATGTCAGGATCAGAGGAGGGGGGCTAAGTCAGGTCAGGGGCAGGAGCATGTGTCATGTTTCGGAAAGTGATTGGTGTTGGGAGGTAGTTGGGGGTCAGTGATGAGTCATGGGAGCAGCGGGTGTAAGTTTACTAATTAATTGTTGGTAGGAGTTTTTACTCCTTTAACATTTCCTGGCTAATTATTAAGCTATGTACAGCAGAGCCCTCCAAAATCTTCAACCATGATTCAGAGTTGGTGACTTTGTTACAGGGTTCCAGATAGTAGGTAATTGACCACGGGAAGGTTGGATTTTCAGGGAGTCAGCTGCATTGAGTCATGCGCATGGTCCCGATGCACAGCTCCTGTCACAGAAGATGACCCTTTGTATCTTTGTGGTTATCTCTCTCTTATTCACTATCTAATAAAGCAGTGTGCATTGTGATTCTTTCCTGCTGTGATATTTCTCAATGTTCTTGTTCCCCCTTGGTTATGTTTCTGTGTTCCCCTTTCTAAGATTCACCAAAAAATGTGTAAAAGCAAGTCTTGTTTCCATCCGGAATTATCTGTCAATTACGACTCACTAGAAACACACTACAAAATGCATTGCGGCAATAGAAATTGCTGCATTATATAGTTGCTACTACAGTTCCAAAATCTTTGAAAGCACCACTGATTTAACCAAAATCTTCCACGTCCTAGTTTTCAATTGATGCAATGTCCATCCTGCAAAGTCTGTGACCTTGACACCTGCCATGTGGCAAACCAGGGTCCAATATGTAAGCATACAGAATGAGGCTTGGCTGGGAGCCCAGGCACCCAGTACATTCTTCCAACACCTGAGACTCTGCCTGATTGGCAACTCTGGCTCTCTGATCTGTCATCAATTTCACATTGCGCACTTAGACAAGATTAGGGGGTTTCAAGTGCTTTACAGTTTTAGCTACAGAAAGTTTCAAAGGTGGGCATAGTTGGCCTGTAGTCATCAGAATGGGATTTTTTTTAAACATATAGGAAAATATCAATAAATTAATTTTATAAACATTTTCATACATCCTTCAGTTGCTAGACAATCTAATGTTTTCTTTCAGCGTATCATGGGTGAACAGGCATGAAATGCCATATCTAGGAATGGGAGGCATGAGAGGAACATGGTGGACTGGGGGAGGGGAATGCTAGTGTCGAGGAGCATAACTGGCATGGGTGACATGAGAGGCCATGAAACATTGTTTGTGAGGTATTTAACCAAGGCATGAGAGGATCTTTCGAAATTATGTACAATACCTCTGAAAGGCCATGAACCATGAACCCAAATATAGAAGACTAGTGGATGTCTGTGTCCCCTATGGAGCTGGCCAGGTCAAGAGGTGCAGGGTGTTCGCATGTACCCGAAGCTAACCCATGCACTTAATTGGTGTTCCTGAAAATTAGAAACCTCGTGAATGGGGTTGGGAATCCTGGAATCAGGACTTGCCTGCCATTTTTAAAGTGCTTTGGGGATCATCAAAACTTAACAAAAATCCAGGCCCATGACTTACTCCTCATAAACGTTGGGCCTAGAACCCTTCACTTTCTCATTTGAAGCTTCTCCAGTATATCACTGACTTTCTGAAGGCAGGTTTTCTAAAATTAAGCACATACTAGATCTGATGGCATCAGCAACCAACACAGGTTTAAGACTTCAATCTCCAATACCTGTGAGATCTACCGTAGCATTTGATTTGCTTTGCAGTGACTAAAAACATTCCTCGAATGTCATTGGTTTACTGTCGACTTAACAAATGGAAAATGTTCATAAATTTTGTTAAACATTCACAATTTACATATCTGCTGCATTTTCAGAGAAAAGAGACCCGGACAGTGTACCAGTATCAATTTCACAGTTGGGCTGAATCTGAGCTTCCTGAAGATCCCAATAATTTAGTCATCATGATCAAGAGCATCAAAGAGAAACTGTCAACATTCAAAGAAGCTGACCATCCAGACCCACCTCTGATTGTGCACTGCAGGTAATGTCTAGTAACACTTGATGTTCCTTCACAATAATTGTTTGTTCATAACACTTTTAAAGTTATACCACATTTCTAGAGAAGAAAGGTGAATTAGATAGCTCTTTTGGTTTGAGTTTCTATGGGGCTGCTGTTGCCTTTATTATACATGATGAAGGTTTTGCTAAAGGGGTATGATATTCTGCTGGGCATTCATCCATTCCAAGTACTTAGCATCAGCCTCAAAACTGCCAGATCTATTGTTGCAACATCAGATATAGGGTTACAATCACCCTGTTTTGTCCTATGATCCACTTAATCACAACGTCAGTAAAAGTATCTCCTACAGATAGACCAGAGACCTACTTTGCCCCACCTGTAGTAAAAATCACAATATATCAACCATGGTTCTGCAAGTAATCAGCAAGGACCTGCCCCCAAACAGAGACCTCATGATGATAAAATGATGGGTGAAATTTCCTGAATGAAGTGGGTAATGATGAGTAAATTAGGAGAATATGGCGAGAATGAAAAACGAAGATTGTTGTTCTCAGAATAATAATTCTGATTTTCCCCTTAAAGTTTCGAGGGCTAAGTGAGGTGGCTGAGAGCCATTGACTGAAGGTGTTTCAGGCTGCAGTGAGAGTGGTAGACCCTGAGCTGTGGTGGGAATTGAGTACAGTAGCAGAGTTGAAGTGAATGTAACATAGCAGCGAGGAGATGGTGGTACTGACGTTTATGGAACGCAGAGGTCAGTAATTTCTTGAGGTACTGCTGCGTTTTCCTCCAGACCCTTGTCACCACACTGACCCAGGTGGCTCCTTCAAACTGGGCTGTCAGAGCCTGGTGCTGTGGTGTCCCCTGGCAGCCTTGGGGAAAGAGGAGCCTCTCCTTTTGCACCAGACAGTCCACCCAGGACCTCCTGCTAACAAAGCAGAATGCCAATTTGCTTCTCTCAATTTCACAGCAACACATTGCAGGCAGTTCCTAGTTTACAATATTTGAAATGATGCACAGCCCAGGTTTAAATATGATAACCATAGTGTGAACACCGTCAGATCCCAGCATCAGTGAGCTCTTCCACTGCCACTGAGCACAAGATTGTTCAAGAGTGTCACCTTGAAGGTGAGATGCATACTCAGTGAGGTGAGCAGCAGAGAATTAACGAGAAAGATCGCCAGAGCTCACAGCGAGAAACCCTCCATGATAGTCTCTGAAATTGATACTTAGTTATAACGTGGGAAAATACAGGCTGATGCAAATCACAGTAGCTTTGTTTTGCAGTAAAAGTAATGGTAAAGCTATCAGCTCTCACTGATATCAAGAGGTAAATTATGTAACAACTTCTAGTTTCTATTCATATTTTGTTAAATGTCGAAATCGGGAAGTTGTGATTAGAGATGCACTTTTTCTCCGGAAGCTCAGGTCATATGGTATCTTGCTGAGAGATTCAGCATTAAAACACACAAAGGACACAAGTTACATTGTTCAGCCAGCAGATAGCCTTTCCATTCAAGTGTAAGTGAAATTTTAATGCTGAAATACGTCTTTATTAATGCCAACCACTCTAGCACTGAAAATTTACATCTATAAGTGTGAGGAAACATCATTTCCAATTTTAATTATTACTGAAAATTTTAAGAAATAAAATGGCAAAATAATTATTCTTTTACCTTTATTTTCCTTTTATTTCTCTCTCATTTCCATTTTCTTGACCTGCCATGTTTTCACTTCCAGTTCATGATTTGTCATTGAATTAACAATCCTAATTTCCTGGTTTAGACTCTGCAAGTCTGAGAATGATTCTTAAGTCTGTTTGATTGAAGAGACCTGACCTTGCTCACCCTGTTAACACAGGTCTAATGTATTGAGTGCTGCCCTGTGTTAGTTACTGAATACTGCAATATAAAAGTCCAGAACATTCTGAATTCAGTATAAGTTTAATGAATGACTTGTCAATTATTCAACACTACAGTAAATTCAAGTACTTAGTAAATACTCTCCTAACAAAAATATTTTCCCCAGAAATACTATAGCAGAGTTACAAACTGTTCTTAGGTTGATGCTGTGTAATTGATTGACAGCTTCCTCCCACTTTGGTTAGTAACTCTGTTGCTAGTGTTAGGGATTATTAACTAATTTCACAACAGTTCAAATCCATAGATTGGTGGGAGTAACCTTTGCTCTTGCGACAAAGCATATCCATGTTCTGTATTGCTCAGTCAATAAAATTGTTTCATGCGTATAAAGAATGTTATTCAACAGTACCACACAGGAGTAAATGTCCACACACATAATGAATGGGTTTCCAGCAAACATATGAGGAGAATGTGAAGCCGTTCTGAGAAAGCTCCCAGCTGATAATCCGTCATGGTGCCTGCAAAAATTTCCTTCCTTAGACGACAATAATTGAATGTAGAAAGTTTTGTACAATGCTGAACACCATAAGCAAGGTGCAGTGGATGGTAGCGCATTGGCTGCCCGCTATCACACTGTCAATGGGTAGAAAAATCAGAATGCAGCCAATTCGCCACAACCCAATATGTGCCATAATCCCAGCCAAAGTTGACTTTCACTCCCAAAAATGTTATTATGTATTCTGCACCATTTAAGTTTCTTACGTTCTAAAATCTCTTTTTCTTTCAGTGACGGAGCCAAGCAAACAGGTGTATTCTATGCTCTGTGGAACCTCCTTGACAGTGCAGATACTGAAAATTTAATAGATGTTCTCCAAACAGTCAAAGCATTGCGCAAGCAACGGCCAGGAATACTTTTAAGCTTTGTAAGTAATGGTCAATCTATCAACCCACACTTGCCCCATATCATCCCACTTGGACATCCTTTGATCCATTACCCGCTTTTCTCCTTTGCATCAGTAAAGCCTTCATATTGACCAATGTACCATGTGTATATTAACATGATGAATGAATTTCAAGATGTTAGAAGTACCAGATGTTCTAGAAAAGATGGCTGTGTCTCACAAGATTAGTTGTTCATTGCAGTAGAGTCTTGGCATGGACATTGTGGGTCCAGGATAGCAGACCACATAATATTGCCCAACAATATTACGGACTACAAACATGAAGAAAATATATGGCCTCCCAAAATTATTGGTGAAAAACAAATAGTACAGGTGGCCTGGCTCGCTGTCACATTGGGTTCAACTTCGCTTCTGAAAGCTGACTTTTTCCGGGCTCGGGGGCTGGTTAAGTAACTATCCTAGCACTCTGGGTCTTCAGAGAGCTGTACCATCTGCTGCTAGGCCCTCAGAATAGCCAGTGACATTGCTGGTTGCTTGCAATCTCAAACCTGCCTCACTCGAGTTTCAGCAGAAGGGTGTCAAAGAGGTACACTTCTTATCTAGCAGCACCTCCACTTCAGCAGTCACCCAGACAAGGAGTCCAAAGCTCAGGTTCTCCTCTGCATATGGCTTGATGCCTGCAGCTTGAGTTTCCTTCTACTCCACATCTTCCTTGCTTCAGTCTTGGTGAAAGTTTCAAATTGTTTGAAATATTTTCTGACCAGTTGCTGATGGCACAGTGATTTTCGCCTCCTGATTCTAAGTTTTCTCTTTTTCCTAATCAATTTTATGATGATACTTGTAGTCAGCTACACCAAGCACTACAGCATTGATGTAACTCTTTTTCTTACAATTTTACTTAAGTTTAAAGCAAGTTTTACAATTTAATTTGAGACTGGTGAGTTTGTAAACTGTTCCTTTGGTCCGGTGAGACTAAGCAAATCTAACTCTCACCCTGCCACTGAACAACTGAGACTCGGTGTGTATTCCACTTCAGTGTTCCCCTTATCGTGAGTCACTAATGATAGATGCACAGTAAAAAAAAATGTTTATAGGTGGATATGAGCCACGTCACAAGGGCTCACAAAGTACCAGAGAGGACAAAATTGAACAGGCATTCCAATGCCGCAACAGTGAAATGAGGCTGAGAAAGGTTAATGGCCTGATGGCCAAAAACGGTGCTGGGGGGTGCAGAACAGACATCAAAGAAATTATATTGTGCTGTATGACTGTGAGTGTGACCCTATGACTATGAGAAATATAATTGTATATTTGTTTTATTGTCGTTTTGTAGAAGCAGTACCAGTTTCTCTATGACATTATTGCCAGCACTTACCCAGTGCAGAATGGGACATTAATACCTGACAATGGTCCAGCACAGACAACTGTGGAGGTGATCTCTGAAACCATTCCAGAAAATGGATCCCAACAAAGTACAGCTTCTGACTCTACTAAGAATAAAGAAGAGACGTCTGCAGGAGACGATGAAGCAAAGTCTGGCAGTAGCAATGACAAACAACTAGTGGAAATCCCTATTAATGGACCTGTAACAAGTGGCGAAATTGAGTGAAGAGAAGTTGCTATGCATGGTGCATAGGTACTAACCAATCACTATTTGTGTTTGAGAGGGAAAATCAGAAATGTCACAATTAGTTTTATTTTTATATGTACAAAGCTTGGTTTATCACTGGATGCTTTCCAAAAAGGTTCGCCTGTATACAGACCTGTTCAAGAATGACAATCTACTTGAACATAAGTATGAATGTATCTCAATAAAAGGAATCGTTTCCTCATGTAAACTTCAACTAAAATGTTTCTGATCCTTTGTAATTCCAAATGAAGGCACAGAAACCTTTTTTTTAAAAAGAAAAAAACCCAGAACTTTTTATATAAATGTATTTTATCAGGTGTGTGGAAAAGCTAAATGCCAAATCTGCTTCAGTATGTTTTATTTCAATAGTGTTCATTTTAAAATGTAAAAAAAAATGCTCTAACGTGAATATGAAGGAATTTGGCAGGTTTACGTGTTGCAATTTCTGGCATTTATAATGCAGCAATTTTTCACTGGTTTTTGCAAATTATTTTTATAGTTGTTTTTCAAAGTTAAAGCTGTGCAGTTGATCTGCTTAAGATATCAAGGTATATTTAACTATTTGAACTTAAATTTACAATGGAATGAAATATTATTAAGGTGGACCAAATTGATTTCTGTTGTACCAAGGTCAGAAAATACAGTGGAAAGTCAGAAGATAAAGTTTGCTATTTTCTTTTGTGTGACCAAGTGACAGAAGTGTTCTGTTATGTAAGACAGAGCATGACTTCATAAACGTAGTCAGTATTAGAAAAGGAATGACTTCAGACAAGGGAGCACCACTGTGGGTTTGCTGGAGAATAATCAAGCCTCACTTCAGTAGAACGGGACCCCATAAAAAGGATCAGTGATGATGTTGTGAGAAGGCTTCATGGCATTTTCATCATACTAATTTGCTGCAATTTGGCCCAAGGTGCTAAAGATCTCTGAATCCACTTACAATCAGCATTTCCAACAAATGAAGGCTGCAAGATCATAGAATTCCTACAGTGTGGTAGCAGGCCATTTGGCCCATCGAGTCCACACTGACCCTCCTAAAAGCATCCCATCCAGATCCACCCCGCAACCTGTAACCCTGCATTTCCATGGCTAATCCACCTAGCTTGGGTAATTTAGCATGGGCACTCCAACTAATCCACGCATCTTTGAACTGTGGGAGGAAACCAGAGCGCCTGGAGGTAGAACGTGCAAATTCCACACAGACGGCTGCACAAGGCTGAAATGAAAGCCGGGGGCCTGGCACTGTGAGCCACTGTGCCGCCCTCACATGATCACAATATGATGTTCAATTTTATGCTTAAAGCTGATTCTAAGATTGGATAGAAACAGCTTGTAGCCAAGAATCAGTTAATTTGTTGTTGCAAATGGAAAATCTGGAATGAGCAGCCAACAGATTTCTTTGTCACTTGTCGGCTGGGTAGTATTTTCCAGCTTTTTGTCATGAGTATAAGAACATGTGAATACCCTACTTTCTTGGTCTTTGGTCCGTGGATGTTGATCAAGCTGCTTTCTATACTCCTTTTTAAAAATAAGTTTTCTGGAATTGTGCTGTGCATAAAGTATTGCTAAATGAAGAAGATATTTCAATTCTCAATGGGGCTGTGAGGAGTTAGCGCCATGACTCATTTCAATCTGCTTCAAGTAAAACCAGCAACTGCAGGATGTACAGTATTTTTTTTTTCCTAAGTTGTGACAAGGTTATTGTGTCAATAGTTGAAAAAATATGTTGCTTGAAACTGTAGAATATTGCCAGGAATTTGTTTGGTCTGACAGGTTCAAATTGGATATAGTATGTTTTACACAAGCGCTTGCTATTTTCAGTATCTTTTTTAAAAGAACAGCTTAAAATGTTTCTAATATGTTCAAAAATACAACTTGTAAAGGTAATAAAATTAAACGTTTTGTACTAATAGTGTTTTTGAATAAACAAAAAGAAAGTAATTAATAAAGCATGAATTTATTAATATACACTTCTCAGTGCAGTGCAAGTCAACACCCACAGGAATCCAGCAGAACCCAGGCACTGGCTAGAATCATACATCCTCTAAATGTCCCAAGTGATAACATAGTTTTGTGCTATGCATTGTGATCCATTTTGCAACAGAGAAAACAAAAATGCAACACCAATCATGGTACGGTCTTTTTTGAAAAATGTAAATTGAACAGAATCATTTATATCAATTGCGGGGACGAAGAGACGGGGTGAGCGTGGGTGGGGTGGGGGGGGTGCATGTTGGTTGCAAATGGTGGGGAGTGAGCAAAATCTGAGTCACTCTGACCACAAAACCCCAAATTTCTTTGGAGAATATAAATTGGCTAAGGACTTTGCTCCTGATCACAATTTCATGGTCGAAAGATCTGTCAACCCTCAGTCATGTGTTCTCTAACACCCCAAAAAAGTGCCTTTCATAGAATCCCCACAGGATTTGTGAGGCACTTTCAGACCATGAGCTGTTGTGAAGCAGTGGCTTTGCTATTTACCTTTACTTATTGTCCCCATGTGGATGAGATGAGCTCAACTTCATAAGGATTTGAATTAAATTAGAAAAATAAAATCGCCACAGGAATCAGTTATAATCACAAGGAGAGAATTCGAATCATTTACAATTATATCATTACATACTTTTAAAGTTGATCATGTATGGAAATAGATGGGAGCAAACTACTGCACATGCTGGAATCTGTGTGGTAAGCAACAAGCGCAGGAGATTGCAGCAGGTCAGACAGTATCCAAAGACAGAGAGCAAGCTAACGTTTTGAGACGACAAGGACTGCAGATGCTGGAAGCCAGAGTCCATAGGTGTAAGGCTGGAAAAGCACAGCAGGTCAGACAGCGTTCAAGGAGTAGGTAAGTCAACGTTTCAGGCCGAAACCCTTTTTCAGGGTAACATTTTGAGTCTAAATGACTCTCCATCAGAGCTGAAGTGAAGTGTGGAGGGGACAGCATTTATGCTACAGTTGGGGATGGGTGTGGGGATAGCGGGTGTAGAGTGCTGATGGAGAAAGGATGTTGATAGCACAGATTAAGTGATTGGAATGCGAGAATGGCCGAACAATGGTGTGTCTAACTGCCAGACTGGAAAGAACAGACAGTCCCATTCCTGTGGGATGAATAGAGAGAGGGTGATAGAGAATGTAATAAGTAAAGCTAAAAGAAAGGGAAGGAATGTGAATGGGTTCATAATCTGAAGGTGTTGAATTCAATATTAAATCCAGAAGGTTGTAAAATGCCTAATCTGAAGATGAGACGTTGTTCCTCCAGTTTGCACAGTGATTCGCTGGAATATTGCAGCATGCTGAGGACAGACAAGTGGGCAGGTGAGCAGGATACTGTGTTAAAATGACTGGCAACGGGAAGGTCGGGGTCATGCTTGCACACGGACTGGAGGTGTTCTGCAAAGTGGTCACCCAGTCTGCATTTGGTTTTTCCAGTGTAGAGTAGGCCACATTGGGTGCAGCAAATGCAGTACACCTGATTGGAGGAGGTGAAATGCTGCTTCACTTGGAAAGACTGTTTAGGCCTTGGATAGTGAGCAGGGAGGAGGTGAAGGGGCAGGTGTTGCACCTTCTGCAGTTAGATAGGAAGGTGCTGTGGTGGGGAAGGGCGTTTGCAGCGGGGGAGGTGGAGGAATGTTCCCTGCGAAGTGCAGATAAGGCTTGTGAGGGGAAAATTGTTTGGTGGTGGCGTTCTGGTGGAGTTGCTGAAGGAGCGGAGAATGATCCTTTGAATGCAGAGTCTGCTGGGATGAAAAGTGAGGACAAGGGGAACCCAATCATGTTGCTGTGAGTGATGGAAAGAGGCAAGGGCAGTAGCACAGGTCAGATGCAGTTGAGGGCCCTGTCAACCACTGTAGGTGGGAAACCATGGTCATTGAAGAAGCAAACCATGTCAGCAGCGCTGTTTTGGCATCATCCAGACAGATGTGACGTAGGTGAAGGAACTGGGAGAATGGGATAGAGTCCTAGTAGGACATGGAGTGTGATGAGCTGTAGTGAAGGTAGCCGTGGGGGTCAGTGGCTTTGTAGTGCATGACAGTTTATTGCCTGAAATGGAGACAGAGAGCTCATGGAAAGGATGATGATAAAGTTACAGAGGGGTGGAAATTGGAGGCAAAATGAATGAAGTTTTCAAGGTCCAGGTGGGAGCATGAAGTAGCTTCGATGCAGTTGCCGATGTACCGAGAAAATAGTTGTGGGAGGGGGCCAGTGTAGGACTGGAGCAAAGATCATTCTGCATTACCCATAAAGAGGCAGGCATAACTGGGACATATGCGGGTGCCTATTGCCACTCCTTTGACTTGGCAGAAGTGAGATGAATTAAAGGAGAAATTGTTCAGTGAGAGAACAAGTTCAGCCAAGTGGAGGAGAGTAGTGGTGGATGGGGATTGTTCAGGCCTCTGGTCGAGGAAGAAACTGAAAGCTCACAGAACTTGCTGGTGGGGAATGGAGGTGCAGAGGGATTGGACATCCATGGTGAACAGAAGGCAGTTAGGGTCAGGGAACTGGAAATTGTCAATATGGTGGAGGCCGTGAGAGGAATAACAGACGTAAGTGGGCACGGTCTGGACAAGGGGAGAGAGGGTGGAGTCAAAGTAGGAGGAAATGAGCTCGGTGGAACAGGAACAGGCTGATAGGATGGGCCTACCAGGGCAGACTGGGAAGGAGGTAGAAGCGGGCTGTCCGGCACTGGGGGACTACTAGTTTGGAAGCAATAGGGGAAGATCTCTGGATGTAATGAGGTCGGTGACAGTCCTGGCAACAATGGCTTGATATTCAGATGTGGGTCATGGTCCACAGGGCAGTAGGAAGAAGTGTTCAAGGTGAGCATTGAGCCTCCGCAAGGTAAACATCAGAGCACCAGACTACAACAGCGCCACCTTTGTCGGCCGGTTTGATAACAAAGTTGGGGTTGGACCTAAGAGAGCGAAGTGTGGCAATTCCATAAGGCGACAGGTTAGAGTGGGTGAGAGGAGCAGAGAAATTGAGACGGTTGATGTCACGTTGGCAGTTTTCAATGAAGAGTTCGAAGGCAGGTAAGAGGCCAGAGGAAGGGGTCCAAGTGGAGCGTGAATACTGGAGGTGGGTGAAGGGATCAGTGGAACAAGGCAGGGAGATCCTGCCCGAAGAAGGACAGTACGTTCAGCCTCAGAGAGGGGAAGGTCAGGAGGTATGGGATGAACACACGGCAAGGGCTGGGATTGGGAAGAGTGGTCTCAGGGGGACAGAAAGAGATGGAAAGGGACGGTGCTAAGAGACAGTCTGCAGGATGGATGTTGGAGTCCATAAGTTGCTGTAGCTTGCATGCCTTGATGCCCGAAAGAGAAAAAGTCTTTTGTCGAGACGAAGGATGAAGTGGAACTGGGGACTGGCACAGCTTTGAGAGAAGATGAGTCAACGTTGCCGCAGAATGGAGTCGAGTCTGCTCATATGCCGGTGCATGGCGCTGATCGTGGATCGCAGAATCCGGCAGGAACAGCAATCCAAGGAACGTTGTACGTCCTGTCAATATTTGTAATCCTGGGTAGATTTGAAAGACCAAGGGTGAAACTTCAGTTGAAGTCCATGTGATCTCTAGCATTTGTTGTTTTCATGTATGGAAATAGTCCTTGCCTGTCATTTAGGACAGAAAAGGACAGAAGGTACTGTTTTTGTTGATAAATTTTCTTTCCAGCTCACCACTTGTTATCTGCTGATTCATTCCCATGGGTCCAAGTACTCGGCAGGTCATCCCAGAGCTTTTATCTGACTGACTCATACAAACTGATTATGCGGCCCTCTGCACTACATAGGAGAGGTACATTAGAGAGGTAGCTGTCATTTTTGTTATTTGCAGGAAGTCTGTGCCCCAACCCCCACAGATAATGAGGATTTGGTGTATATAACACCAGGATAAAATTAAACTTAAAAATCCAAAGCTATGAAAACAGTTTGTGTAAAGGAAGTTGCTTGGAAACTTACAACATAGCTGTAAGTTTGTACAAGAAAATCACGTACAATCGTTGGCACTCCTTCACTGCTTGTAAGAAACTGACCCATATGGTCGGACATTGAAACCAAAATAATACCTGGAACTTTGATCAGACTCAAATATGACTTTGGTTTCAAATCAAGTTGACAGAATCTTGTTATTGGAGTAGAAACATTGACTCCTGCTAGCACAGTCTGATGAAGGATCAGGAAATTTTATTTGGAACGTTGATTTCTGAAGTGGATGGAATCATGTCTAGCTTTATGATGGGTGTATTTCTATTTTGTAAATGTTAAGGGAGGAATGGTTAGAATTTTAATTTAGATTTTGAGTTGTGTGAGTGGTAATGGGTTGTTTGGAGTTTGTTTACATGCACTTAAATGAGAATTTTTTTAAAAAAAAAACCCTTGAGGTAAATGTTTCAGGACTTTAGAAAACATTAAACAAGGGCTAAAAGAGACAAAAACAATTTAAATCAAGTTGTACTTCAGAAAGAGAGACAGAACCATCCAGAAGGTCAGTGAGTGTGCAGGTTGCTTTCAGAGGAAGAAGCAGGTCATTCAGGGAGAGAAAGCCTGTAAGAGCAGCAGTGCAATTTACAAGATTCCAAAACAGTCAGGTTAGAAGAGGGATCCTGATTAGCTTTAAGGTTAGTCACGTAAAAGCTCCAGAATCAGTAGGCTAAAGAGTCAGAGAGGAAGACATCCTGTAACACTGTTCAGCTTAATGAACCTATGTTAAGAAATAGGTGAATTATATTTGAAGAATTTTTAAAGATCCTAGGAAGAGATATTAACCAAAGAAATAGTTTTGAGTGATTGTAGAAATTTGCTGAGGAAAAAAACGATTACAGCCATGTCATTGATCAAGGAACTTTAAAGTTGAAAATGGGTGACCATTCAATGAAGTTTTGAGTATCTGTAAGGTTTTGTTGAGGGTAAAAGGATTGAATCTTATTTCTCATATTTGTAATAAGACTGTCTAAAATAGTTTTTATA